GTGCAACAGCGCTGGCCTCAGACAGCTGGGATCTGCTTTTTGACTGCTGGGAGCTTAATAGCCCGTGATCTGCTGTCTTTTGAACGTACCCTTTGCGGGAGTTTTTTTTTTTTTTTAGACGGCTTCAAAAGGGGATAGTGCCATATTGCTTTCCTTGTGTACATTCTGGAGACATGTCTTTTTTGGCACCCCCACGGCTATATTTTCTTTGATTGGACACAAGCATTTACCAGACCTCCCATATACTTGTTTTGTGAGCAAGTCCAATCTCACTCCCCTCAAACAGGCACAAGGATCCGGACATTTTGCTGGGATACAAGCCTTGGAGCCTGCCCCAAAACATTAACACTCGCCGCAACTTGGAAGAGTATTTTAGTGGTGCTTGATCTAGCATCATTCGCCGAACTTCTCTGGGCAGGAGCAGTGTTCAATACAAACCTAGGCGGCTCCCAGCCATCCCCATAGCCCTATAGTTGTTTAGTGTTTATTGGCAGTTTCCATTCAACCCAAAAGTTAAACTTGCAGGGCACGGGATCTCAGCCCAGAAGCCTTTCAATTGTCCAAATCACCTTTCAATCTGAACACTCCGGATTGACAGTGTCCAATCAATACCTTGCAAAGATCAAGCAGTGTCCAATCAATGCCCCAGATCCGGCGATCTTGGTTCCCTCGGGTGGCCGCTTGCCACGCTCACGCTCAGGCGCGGGCATCAGCATGGCGCCGCCGCCCCCGGGCAAGCGCCCGGGGAGCGCGCAGCAGCGAGCCCCGCCGCAACTCGGCAAGCGGCCGAAAAGCCACGGGGAAAGACGGGGGGAAGCACGGGGAAAGGGGGGCCCAAGTGATTAGGATGTCATTTTGGAGTACCTCATCATGAAGCATATGCGAAAGCGTTTGACCGCCTATACTGCACACAAGGGAGTCTCCCAAAAGGAGATTTCTTTTCATGCTTGCATTGTCCTTCTTAGGTCATTTTGGTTGAAGTTGGATGGGACTAACATTGATTTCAGTGTTGAGCTAGTCATGTTTGACAGCGTGCGATTTCTACAAGAGGACACCTAGGTGGCGATTCCTGGGCCAGGTGCCCTTCTACTTCACCTTTGCGGCCTTTTTGGAAGTTTCGTTTTCGGTGCGGTGATGTTTGGGATACATTGGGAGCTCTGTTCACTTGGACCCCCCAAAACAAAAAATGGCCTGCTCCAACAACCAGGGTACAAGTCTGGAAGGCGATGAGCCAGATTGTAGCTCGGGCGATTGGGTGTTTCTTGTGTTTTGTCATGCTTGGCCAGTCGAAGCTCAAACAGTGGATGTTACGCTGACAACCCTGTCCCAAGCCAACCACATGTAGCCCTTCAGGCCAGCCGGCTATGCAGGCTACGTAGACGCCAAGGAGCAGGGATGGGCGCAAAGGAGTTGCTGGCGTGACATGTTCTCCAAGTCAGGACATCTGTGGCCACTCCTTGAAACATAGGTCCTTACTGCAGCTGTTGGATATTTCACTAGGTTTGCGGATGGCATGTGGTGCCTACACGAATTCCTTTGCGAGCTGCTTGCAGGGTTCTACGCGCCAGGGAGCGCACCCGGCGAAGACGACCTTTTGACCGTTGGGTGTTGTCGATTTGGTCCATGAGCCGAGGTCCAAGTTGTTCGTCTTGCGGCGGGTATTGGAGCTAGGGTTTTGTGAGTGATGCAGAGCAGGTGTTGGGTCCAGAGTAATCCTAGGTCTCCCAGTAACGCCCTTTTTCCATTTTTTGGGGGAGGGTTCCCCTACTAAAATAGACTGCAGAAAAAAGGGTACCCTTATTCTAACCTCTCTACTGGAGGACCTAGCGACATTCCCCAGATTGCTCTCCAAATAATTTCGAAAGGGAACCCCCACCCCAGAAGTCAGATTGAGAACTCCGCAACATTTTGACTTTAAGGGACCTGGTAATCTTGCTGAGAAGCAGCAAGGAATACAGGCATTCCCCCTATGAACCGGTAACCATCCCTTGTGGCTTCCTTTAAGCGCATCCTCGTGCCGAACACCTCTCAAAGGATTCCCAGAAGAACCAGCAGGTACGGTTGGGTGCGAGTGGACGGCACTTTACTTTCTCAGCGATTCTCGTGGCGCCGATTTTCACGCCCAAGTCGTAGGGCTCAAACACTCCGCCCTCCACGGCGCCCACGGTCTTCCACTCCACCGCCAGCAGCTTGCACGACACCTTCGACAGGCACGCGACATAGCGCCAGGAAAGCGGTCGGGTCGCCCCTTAAAATGAACAAATGGGGGGGAAGGGCCGTGAAAGTGACATTGCGGGATGGTTTTCCTGAAGCAAATTCAATTGGCCCCCTGCAAAGTGGATGGAAATGGCGGGTTCTCAGCATTAGGGCTCCTTTGTACATGTTTCAACACAAAGGCGGCGCAAGGCAGCACCAGGGTCCAAGAATGGCATCTGTTTGAAAAGGGTGCGATTAGGTCGCAACAGAGCCCAGGGTGTGCCGTTTGCTCCACTGCCATGTCTAGGGAGGTGTTCTTTCCTTTGAACCCACATGCCAAAACAGGATATATGTGTTTTTCCCTGGCCGCACTGGGCAAGTAAGGTTAAACACAGGTCTACAGTCGATTCCCGGAATGTTGCAAAGATGAACAGGGGCAATCCTACGATGTAGCATGGTGTGTGCATGGTTGCTTCACATACCGGTCATAGATTCTGCACCCCGTGAAGAGATCTTTTGAATCACAATTACTGTTTGCAATAATGTCTTTATTTTAAAAGAAGAAGAAGAAGAAGAGGAAGAAGAAGAAGAAGAAGAAGAACATAACAACAAAACCTGTATCTTTCACGAAAGGGCCGCAAAGAGCGCACCAACACGCCCCTTCAGCATTTGGCGTTTCCCATAGTCGAGGAGCACGTCCAAATGACTCCGTTTGGCTTCCCAAGCAGCATGCCAGGTCAGACTATCGGAAAGCCGCCTACTGAAAGAGGCGGGCGGCCTTTTCCACTCCGAGCTTCATTCTGAACGCCTGGTTCTTAAACCCAGGTCAAACTCTGGCCGTGGGTGTGCCCCAAGAACTTGGCAAAACGGCTGGATTCCCCGGACCGCCACTCTTAGCACCCAAGGGTGGGTGCCGAAAAAGAGACATCCCCAAGTCAGATGCTGGAAGTCTGAATCAACCGGGGCACACCCGTCGGCCACGAACCAGCAGCTCCGTTTTGGGTGGTCGTCGGGTATTGCTGACCTTTTTTTTGGACCTTCGAAAGCGAGGCCTGCGGGCCCACATGCAACTCAGCTGGAATCTCAGAACGATAATTTGGCTTTTGTTCTGGATTGAACACCAAATCTTCGAATCTTTGGGGCTATGGAGCTGCTTCCATACTTCAAGTCGCTCAGTTTGCATGGGGGGGTCAAAGGCCGATGTTGATGCTTCATTTGACATCCCAGCCTCTTGACGGAATTTTGGGAGGAGGCGACCCGTGACCCTTGAAGCCCTAGTCTGGGCATGTGGTAATGTTAACCCCGGATTAATAAACCCCTGGTTGATTAATAGGGGGGTGTCCCCTTTTAGTGGGGATTCATCACTTTTGGAGGGAACACCCTCCTAATAATGGGACGGGTTTATGAATCCTGGGTCAAGATTAGTGCCGTATTTGCCCCATGCTTTGTAAGAGGTTTCTTCTTTAGGCAAGCCTTCAAGCGAGGATAGCCCGGTGGGACAAGACGACCTCCCAAAGCAGCCAGTGGCCTACGGCCCGAAACTCCGGCAACTGCCGCAAGTGCCCGGAATGGGGCAAGATTTGGAGCTTCGACTTCAGATGACCTGAGGAGCTCCCTTGCGCAAAGGTGCAGACTTCCAAGAAGCGGGCAGTTTTAAACCATGGCAGCAGGATTTGGCATCGGTTGTCGGCGTACCAGAGTGAGTTTCACCTTCAGAATCGCGAAGTGCTTCAGACTGCTTGTTTGCGGTTTCTGTCTTATGCAGCCACTAATGAGCAAAAAGGAACTGCTCGACGATCCTGCAGCGCTTTGGTGAGTGGGCACTTAGCTGATTGGAATGCCCGTCGGCGGCTGGGGGGCCTGCAAGGTCAGAAAGAAGGTGGCACAAGCAAAACGACACTGGCTCCACATCATCGATATATCGCAAGATGAGGATCTCCTCCAATTTGCCGTTGAATGCCTTCCCAGTCCGCAGGGGTTCCCCTCGACATATCCATCGAACGCCCCGCTGGGGAAACCAAGGTGCATCCATTTGCCCAGCTATGGTGCCTATGTGGGATTCCATCGGGCAACCCTGGCAATCTGATGTTCTCAAGGCTTTTCAGAGGGATGTGATCGCAGGTGCCTGGAGTGATTATTTTCCCCGCAGCTACAAACCCGCATGAATTATCTTTCACTCCGTGGTTGGATGTTGCATGGCTACACAATATCGACCTGTTCAGTTGACAAACTTTGAACAAACCTCCAGTGGGTTCACGGATTTTTTGCAAGCACCCATAGAATGGTTGGTCCAGAGCCAGGGAACAAAGACTTAAGACACTGGCAAGTCTGGGCGTTGCCCCAGACAATGGCACAGTACACAAGTCAAACTCGGGAAAGAATTTGGTTCTCGTGCGAAATAGCTCATACTCGGAAACCAAAGGGGGCGGCGAGTTTTTTGAATTTGTCCGGACCCCTTTCGCACTCAGTGCTTACTTTGAGGAACCATTTCCCAAATGGCTTTCCCGAGATAGATAGCCGACCCTTGCCAGCAGAGTCCAGAATATTAGAGGTATGCGTAAGAACATGGAACTCCTGACTGACTGGCTGGCTGGCTGGCTGACTGACTGACTGACTGACTGACTGACTGACTGACTGACTGACTGACTGACTGACTGACTGACTGACCTGCCTGCTCTGCTTGCAGAAGCGAACACACATGTTGCCAAGATCCACTCGGTAGAAACAAAGCAACAGAGGCATGGGCAAAACATTGCCCCAGGACGCTTGATTTTGCTGGGAATCCCGGGGCTTCGCTTGCCAAGGACGCTGGGGCTGGTATCTACCCACGCGGGGTGGCCTACATCAATTCTTCTGTGACTGTCAAGTAGCCTTCCCAGCTTTCGGCTGCCCTCGAAAAAAGCGGATCTGTAAGTTGCTGGCAATGGGGGCCTGTGCGCGTCCATGTTTGTGGAAGGACACCTCCGTTTCGGAATCGGAGCCTGTCACGATCCAAAAACCTCGCCCGTTCCGAGCTCCGATGGAGCTTGCTGACGTCCCACTTGCTGGCGAGCCAGGCCTCATGATCTCCTTGGGGATCCCTAGCTTTAGGTTTGAATTGATCACATTCCCCGAGTCAAATGAGTGACTAGTGGCTGTCCTTCTGGCTTCCATGGGCAACGGTGAGGCGATTCATGGCCTTGTTTTTAGTCGGCGCCAGCCTTGAGAGTTGCCAGACATATTCAGGCCATAGCAATCCACCGTGCGTGACGTTCCAAAGTCCGAGGCATTGACGAAATGATGGGTGTGTGTTTGCAACGCATATGTTTACAGCGTTCATGTTTGTACAGCGTTCATGTTTGCTGGACCTTTGGCATTTGCCAGGGTGCCTTTCAGTTTTTGCAAACTTGCTAGCAAAACGCGCGTGCTTGATCGCCAGTTTGGACTGGGATCAGGATGTGCCTTTTTCGCTGATAGGACTTGCTTATGTTAAGAGCAACTTGGTCTTGAGATTCGGGCCCTTTGTTGCAAATGCCACTGGGGGACCCTTCCGAATCGGGAGCTTCAGCATACGCGCCCCGCAGCACGTTCTATCCCAAGCTGCGCGGGTACCGCACGACCGCACGACCGCCCGCAGCTTGGCAAGTGGAACGAGGATTCCAAGGAGCAAGTGGCGGCGTTTAGTGCAAGTTTGCCAGGTTAAACTTTGCGGTACCTTCTGAATCCAGTACACTTAGTGCGTTTAGTGTTGCATGGGTGACTTAGCAACATGGCAAGCACATGTGCAACTTACCCTGACGAAGTGATCTGTTTCGACACCTCGATGCATGGGGCGTTTGTCAATATGTTTACCTCGTTGAGATCTTTCAACTTGGCCTCACTGACAGCCAGGCTTCTCCATGTTTTCCTTTGAAGTATCACCATGTGGTTGCCATTTTGGTTTGTTTCCCTGGGTGGCGCGACTTTTGAAGGGCAAAATGTTAGGAATGCTTTGAGATGAAGGCCCAAAGGCTCACATGCTTTCATTGAAATTTTTGGTTTTCATTGAAAGCCTTGGCTTGCAATCCATGAAGCACATGTTGCGCAAGTTACACAGAGGGTGAGAGGGTTTATTATTCCCATTTGGTGAGTGCCACGAAAAGTCCGAAACTGTCTGGCCTTGAAAGTGGGTGGGCACCCTTTGTGAGCCTTCAAGCCTTGAACTCCTTTGGCCGCGTGTTTTTGGAGATCTGACATGGCAGCCTGTCCATAGCATTAACAACTCAACCGCACGCTTTCGGTTGTTTGATTTTCAGGGAGGAAGGCCGGCAGCTGAATCAGGAAAAAGGAGAGATACATTTTGGAGGTATTAGTCGGGAGCTGTTGAGTGGCGCAAGGCGCTAAGAGTCTGGACATGCTTCCCAGCCTGGCGCCTATGTCGTCTGCCTGTGAGTGTACCATCCTACAATGGGTTCCCCAAAGTTCTTGATGCTTCCGGGTATTATTTATGTAATTAGAAGCTGCTTATTTGTGTACCCCAGAATTGGGCCAACTTCAGAGTGTGCAGCCCAGAGATGTGCTGTTGTTTCTGGCCTCAGGCGATCATGTGGCGCTTGCTGGCCCTGGTTGCAGCCTGCAGGCTGGCAACTGCGCATATCGTGCTGTAGCTGAAATCTGAAAGGCTGGCTTAAGGAACCAATGAGTCTCTGGGTTGGTGGTCCATTCTGCTGAACAACAAGTGTTTTTTAAAGAGCCATCATTTTGCTCGGTGTTGGGTGCTTTCTGGAAATCATACACAAGAACCAATGGATGAAGCAATTGAGCTGACAAGGACAGGTACCCGCCATGTTGCAAGTTGTTGGCTGAGGGGAGATCTGCAGCTGCTTCAAGACAGTGCGTGTTGCAGAAACACCGGACCATGGTCCGAACTCCTCGGGCTTGGCTTTGCTTGCCTTACGGTCCGAATTCCCTATGGGTGTATGCCGGCCCCGGGGTGATGGGGTCCGACCATGGCACACATGGATGGTTCTCTTCATAGGTCTTAGCCCTTCTGGCTGGTGTCACAAGGAAGGGTAGCACCCGCTAGCGAAGCATTAGCGTTGCAAAAGGGATCCCTCCAGGTTTCCTTTTGGTTTCCCTGAGCCAGCCAAGGGCTGGACGCGTTTTTCGTAGGGCTGAGCTCGACGAGACCTGCCACCTGGAGATCCAGAAGTCCCGCTCCGAGCCGCTCGTGGCCCAGCCCCTGGTGACGGACAGGGGCGCTTGCTCTCAAGAGGACCTTCAGGCGGGGGGGTTTGTGCGAGCGGGCAATAACGGGTCCAAGGTGCAACAAGAAGAAGCCGCCCCGAACAAAGTTACCTTATGATGAAGGTCCCTCACTGGCAGGGGGGGGTGGGGCACCATACCCATTCAAAGTCATTTTCTTGGAATCTGTCTTTGAGAGTCATCCCTGGGGGCCGCAGGGTCCCACGTTTTTACGTACCAAAGTGAGTGTCATTGCTGCTTGGTGCCCCGTGAGCTATCTCTGGGTGTTGGGCTTTTGCACCTTAACACATTCCCCTCACCCTGGCCACGCAACCGCCACACCCGCCAGGTGATGCAAAACCTGGGGGGCGGAAGCGGGACGGGCAGCCTGCCACAGATGATTGCGGAGTGCGGGAAGCGCGCCTTTTCGCTTTGGACCGGCTTTGACAAGTCCACCATGGCGCCTCGCCTTGAGATATCCCTGGTTGGGGGCTTGGCTAGCATCCTGCCTCAGGAATGGCGAGGCGGTGTTTGAGAGCCGAACATGCCTGGGGTGAACCAGATTGCAGCAGGCCTAACGGCCTAACAACTTCAGTGGTGATGAATTGGAAGCCTTCCTTTGCAGGGGGCCCATTGAGTGACCTCAGCAAAGTTTTATCAGGGAGACAGTTTGTGCGGGTGATAAGTTACCTACAGTGCTTCCCCACCTGAACAACAAAACCTCACAAGAGGATGGATGCCCCTCATTTACCGGCAAGCCCTTACAGTCGCTCTTTCGTGGGAGGCCATTCGATGCAGGTTTCTCAGAAATGTAGCGCCAGGCGAGTTGGCAGATAGCACAAATCCCCCGTGGGTAAGTAAAGGCCGGCAGATTCCCATAAAGCAGGCTCAATAGCAAATGTTTTGAGGCTTCAGCTACCACACCGGTTCCCTCCAAAAAGACAATGTGTGTTCCCTTTTGTTTGTGGTGGCCGTGTTTCCCTCAAACAAGCGACGAGGTCGAGAGAGTTTCTTTATGTTGGTCGAATTGTTGTTCGATCTACGAAGGCAAAGAACGCCGGGGCATTCGTCACTCACAAATGTTCCTTTTTGAGCTCCCGATGGCAACCGCTTTTGGCCTACCCCCCCCCCCCCCCCAAAAAAAAAAAAAAAAAAAAAAAAAAAAAAAAATAAATGGAAGTACCCCCCCCCCCAAACCCCAAACAAAAATGGAAGTACCTCAACCAACAAACATGGAAGTAGACAGGCCCTGTTGACTGGAAGGGGTTTCTGTGCACAGTCGTGTCCGGGCCGTTCGAAGTGAATGGTCTTCACTTCCTGGAAAATGGTCAGAAGGAACGCCAGGTCTGGGTCCACTACAAAGAGTGTTTGGGGATGGTTTATATTGCTTGGGTCAGCTTAGGCCGTTTGCTCTGAAGAGAGGCAACTCATTGCAGCCGAATTCTAGCTTGCAAAATTCAAGCCCGCTTCGGCAAAGTTCAGTGGAGCCGTGTTTAGCCTGTGTACCCCAAGATAGTTATGGGGAATGATCTCCCAAAGAGGGCCAAACAGGTTGCAGGTGATGTGTCATTCCGCTCAGTTCCGCGGGCTTGCTTTCTCGGCACGAGCCCACTTTTGACCTGAGCACCGTCACACACCCAGAGCTGCCAGTTTTGGTTAAACACCTGAGCAGAAAGAGGGTAACACCTCAACATGAAACGGAAAGAAAGTGGTGGCCTTGGTGTCAAGATTTCATAGCTTCTCCCAGTAATTTTTGGATTTCACACTTTCACCCCAACCAAAAAGAACGGGCTTGCAAACGACTTGCGCGTCGATTCTGGCCGAAGCCAACCCGTTTCAACACGGGGCCTATGGTCCCGAGCGAGGCCCAATGCGTGGGCATGACCACGAAGCTGACCTCTTCCTGCGCGGCTTGCTTCGCGGAGTCGGGGGCCTACGGCTTCGACCACTGCCGCCCGACTGAGCAAGGGGCGACAGAAGTGCTCGTCTGTCGATCGTTGAAATCGGAAGAGACGGGCCATCCGTTTTGCAGGGTGTCTTGCGTTGGGTCAACTTGGCTGCAGGCGGGCTTGGGGGTTCCTGATTGTGGTCAACCGTGGTTCTTTTCAATCTCCAGCCATTTCCCTACGATTTTGGGGGGTTTCCTGGAACAAAGGATGCGTGGAATAGGAGTACACGTTGTCTTTCATGCGGGGCACTCAGACCATGGACAAGTTGAAGGTTTCCACCAACCAAAAGTGAAGGATGCCTGCTGGAGGCAATGTCAAGAGGACAGTCCTGTCGGGGACCCTCGGGTGATTCTGTCCTGCCTCCAAAAGTTGGTCCATGTGCGATCCAATTTTGAGCATGGGGTACCTCCAAAAAGTCTTCCTAAAAGTCAGGGCTAATTTTAGGAACCCTGTTTCCCTCCAAGATGGGGGTCGCTGGTTGTCACTGGGGCTGAACTTGTTTTCTTTTTGTTTGTCAGTGTTCACCTTCAAAAACCATGGGCTCCCTCACGGCAGGACGGTCGCATTTGACCCTACCTCAACGTGGTCGCATTTGACCCTACCTCACGATGAGGTAGGGTCAAATGTGACCGGAGGTAGGGTCGCATGTGACCGGGGCCCCTGTTCCTTTGTAACAACCATGCAACTGAAGAGCCACTTTTTGACAGTGAGGTAGGGTCAAATGTGACCGGTGCGTTTCGCGTGGCCCTGCCGTGGAATTGGAACGCAGTATTCGATGTATCTACAGATCCAGTAGGGACAAAGGTGACCGGAGGTAGGGTCGTGTGTGACCGGGGCCCCTGTTCCGTCGTAAAAAACGAGCAACTCAAGGGCCTTGTTTTGAGAGTGAGGTTGGGTCAAATGTGACCGGAGCCTTTTGTTTCGTTAGTTGTGTTGTTGGAGGCAATGTGCATGGGCATTCTTGGTTGTTGTCTTGTAATGTTGTGGCCCGTGCGTGCCGACCAGGTGGTGGTGGCTTTTTGCGTGCTCATGTATTTGTCAGGTGGTGGTTCTCCCGCGTTGGCCACCGCGCAGAAACCCTAAAAATGATGTGGTGACTACCTGAAGAAGTGACAGCAAACCAGAAAACCCTAAAGTGATGTGGTGACTTCCTAAAGAAGTGGCAGCAAACCAGAGAACCCCAAAGTGATGTGGTGACTATAACTGAAGTGACAACGCAGCAGAAACCCTAAAAGTGATGTGGTAACTACCTGAAGAAGTGACAGCTAAACCCTAAACCCTAGAGTGATGTGGTGACTATACCTGAAGTGACAACGCAGCAGAAACCCTAAAAGTGATGTGGTAACTACCTGAAGAAGTGACAGCTAAACCCTAAACCCTAGAGTGATGTGGTGACTATACCTGAAGTGACAACGCAGCAGAAACCGTAAAAGTGATGTGGTAACTACCTGAAGAAGTGACAGCTAGGGCCCTTCTCGGGATGTGGTGACTACCTGAAGAAGCGACAGCGCAGCAGAAACCCTAAAGTGATGTGGTAACTGCCTAAAGGAGTGGCAGCGCACCAGAAACCCTAAAGTGATGTGGTGACTACTTCAAGAAGTGACAGCGCAGCAGCAACCCTAAAGTGATGTGGTGACTACCTAAAGAAGTGACAGCAAACCAGAAAACCCTAAAGTGATGTGGTGACTATAAAGTGACTAAAAGTGAAGTGACAACGCAGAAGTGACAGAGCAGAAACCCTAAAAGTGATGTGGTAACTACCTGAAGAAGTGACAGCTAAACCCTAAACCCTAGAGTGATGTGGTGACTATAACTGAAGTGACAACGCAGCAGAAACCCTAAAAGTGATGTGGTAACTACCTGAAGAAGTGACAGCTAAACCCTAAACCCTAGAGTGATGTGGTGACTATACCTGAAGTGACAACGCAGCAGAAACCCTAAAAGTGATGTGGTAACTACCTGAAGAAGTGACAGCTAAACCCTAAACCCTAGAGTGATGTGGTGACTATAACTGAAGTGACAACGCAGCAGAAACCCTAAAAGTGATGTGGTGACTACTTCAAGAAGTGACAGCGCAGCAGCAACCCTAAAGTGATGTGGTGACTTCCTAAAGAAGTGGCAGCAAACCAGAGAACCCCAAAGTGATGTGGTGACTATAACTGAAGTGACAACGCAGCAGAAACCCTAAAAGTGATGTGGTAACTACCTGAAGAAGTGACAGCTAAACCCTAAACCCTAGAGTGATGTGGTGACTATACCTGAAGTGACAGCACAGCAGAAACCCTAAAAGTGATGTGGTAACTACCTGAAGAAGTGACAGCTAAACCCTAAACCCTAGAGTGATGTGGTGACTACACCTGAAGTGACAGCGCAGCAGAAACCCTAAAAGTGATGTGGTAACTACCTGAAGAAGCGACAGCGCAGCAGAAACCCTAAAGTGATGTGGTAACTGCCTAAAGGAGTGACAGCGCACCAGAAACCCTAAAGTGATGTGGTGGCTACCTCAAGAAGTGACAGCAAGCCAGAAAGCCCTAAAGTGATGTGGTGACTAACTAAAGAAGTGACAGCAAACCAGAAAGCCCTAAAGTGATGTGATGACTATACCTGAAAGCGATGTCAAAGCCTCAAGACCTAAAGTGACGCATTTGGCAAGAAACCGTCAGGTAGGGTACGGTCAAATGCGACCGGTGCGTTTCGCGTGGCCCTGCCGTGGAATTGGAGCTTGATGCTGCCATCTTTGCCAGCTGGCAATGTTGCTTGAACGCAAAGTAGGGTAGGGTCGCTTGTGGCCGGTGCGTTTCGCGTGGCCCTGCCGTGGAATTGGAACTTAGTATTGCCACTTGGCACTGATTTTAAGCCCAAAGTAGGGTAGGGTCAAATGTGACCGGTGCGTTTCGCGTGGCCATGTCGTGGAATTGGAGCTTGATGCTGCCATTTCTTTGCCAGTTGGCCACGTTGCTTGAGCCCAACGTAGGGTAGGGTCAAATGTGACCGGTGCGTTTCGCGTGGCCTTGCCGTGGAATTGGAACATAGTACTGCCATTTGGCACGGATTTTTGAGCCCAAAGTAGGGTAGGGTCAAATGTGACCGGCGCGTTTCGCGTGGCCATGTCGTGGAATTGGAGCTTTACGCTGCCATGTCGGCATGGTTTTTGAAGCCAAAGTAGGGTAGGGTCAAATGTGACCGGCGGGTAGGGTCGTATGCGACCGTCCTCCCCTCCAAGATGGGGGTCGCTGGTTGTCACTGGGGCTGAACTTGTTTTCTTTTTGTTTGTCAGTGTTCACCTTCAAAAACCATGGGCTCCATTTTGTCCGCCTGAAGTGGGTCGAGATGTTGTCGCCAGGGTCGCTATTTGAGGCAAGTCCCAGTGCATGACCAAGTGTTCGTGAAGGTTTGTCTCACCTACGTAAGCACCATTTGCTACTACAAATGCATGGGTCTTACAAAAGGTTCAGGCCAATAGGGCGCCCCTCTCAAAGCCCAGCCTAGCCCTGCAGGGAAGGTTCGAAGGGCTCATGGTCCACTGCTTGGAAAGCCTGCCCAGGGTTCATGCTGTTGTCACCAACCAATGGTTGCCATAGTCTACCACTACTTCAAACAACAAGCAGCTGCTGGTCGTTCCTGTGCATGGATCCAATCTTAGCTTTGTTCACCCTAGCTCCATTCGGTGCCAGAAAAAAAGGAGGTTCCACCAAAGGGCTTCAATCACGCGTTCCTCAAATGGTCGCTGGCTGAGGCAAGTTCCAGTGCATGGGCTCATGGTGCAGCGCCAGCTGCCTGAGCTGCACGGAAGGCGCCAAGAAGCAGGTGCGCGCCTGCACGGGCGCGGACACGCCCCAGGCGGAGACCTGTTGACTCGACGTGCGGGTGAGAGCGGGTTAGCCGCCAAAACGCGTTGGTTGGCTGCAACTGGCCAGGCTGAGCGTAGGCTCGGTATAGACCAGAATCTGGAGTATACGTATTTCAGGTGGGCTTAAAGGGAAACCAACACGAAACCAGCCAGTCTTTGGAATTGGGGTTCAAGCGCTCGGGAGCTCTGCGATTTGAGGGGTCCCTTTTGGTCGTTTTGAACATCAACATTTTTGCCGAATTCAAAGTTCCTTTTTGCTGAGGTGACCTTGTGGGGGGAAGCATATGGAGCCCTGTTGAAAAGAGGTAATCAGGACACCAGCTATTTTGTGGGTGTCCTAGCCTGAGTGCGCATAAGTGATAAGTAGCCATCAAGTTCAGGAAGCTGTAAGATGGATCTGTTGAATTTGACCCAGGCCCCCCTTCATGGGCTTGACCAGCCAACCCTTGATTCGGTTTCTGCATGGGGCCGGCAAGGACTAGCACGGGTGCGGCAGATCTGACCATCGGACTGGTGATGTGAAATCTTTCATTTGTGTTGTTGCCTCATTGCAATTTGCATCAATTGGCCTGAGCGTGATCCAGTATCGGAACTGCAATCCAGCTCAGCTTCACCGATGGTCTCAAAACTACGGCACGGAGCACGGAGAGGCGCTGAAGGAGCATTTTTAACCCCACAAAGCAGGGGGTTGCATGGCCAGCGCTGGACGCGAAAAGCATCGAAATGCCACTGCGTGGTTGTGGAAATTGTTTGTTTTAGGATGTTTTTCCTTCGAAGTGACAAAGAAATTAGTATGGGGATGTTGATGCCTCTGCAATTCCAGTTGGTATGTCGGAAAGGGTTATGGTTATGTGCTACAACCATGAACCACTGTTAAACTTCAAGCCTACGGCTAGGCATACAGCCGAGCCTTCTGCGGCCTTTGCGCATTTGTTTACTCATAGATGCATCCTGATGCCCAGTTTTTTACTCAAACAGTGTGACGGGTGTGATACAGCTGTGGTTTTCTTAGGGATTCTAGCAGGCTGGCGTGTTGAGTCCCTATTTTTGTTTCAGCCAGAGCTTTTGCTGAAAAACATATTTTGTTTCCCCAAGGGTTGCCCACTAAACGTCGCTTTCTCATTGATCACTTTAAGCGGTAACATGACAACCGACTGCGAACCCCTCCATCATCCGTGACTAGTCGCCAGGTTAAAACGTCCATTTTGGCAAAATACACTGGCCTGCCCGCTTCAGCCGCACAGTGTGTTTGACTCCTGTCTTTTTCTTCTTTTGGTGGTAGGATTCCAACTTGTTTCCAACCAGGCAGCGTGAAGGGGCATCTTGGATCCATGGAGGGGATGCCCTGTAGTGATGTCAGGTGTCGCACTTAAGCAGTGCGCTGGGGCTGCAAGGCAGCAAGGCTGTCACCTGCACCTCCATGTCCCCAGTGGAGTACACATCTTACATGTTGTTGTTTAAAAGCCTGGTCGCCGAGAGAGAGAGAGAGAGAGAGAGAGAAAGAGATAGTGATAGTGATAGAGATCGGCCCTCCAAACGAACATGTTCTCTATGCATCCCTTTCCAACAGACGAGTGGCCTTTTGCTATCGTTCTATAGGAGGTGCACCAAACCATGGGACTGGTGAAGGCAAATCTTAGGTCAACGACGGGTAAATCCTAGGTAAATCCACCGTACATCAAAGCCGGTCATTGTAAAAATTGGGGGGGTTGGGCAGCGACCCGTGGAGCACTCCAAGATCGCCTACGCCTCGTGCCAAGGTTTGGGCCCTCGCAGCGGACAGGTACGCAGGAGCCCTGGGGCGAATTGCCAGCAGAAAAATCCACCAAAGGGCCAAAACTGCGCCCGTGGCTTTGAGAGCTTCTGGTTATAGGATCCCTCGATACAGATGATACACCAAATAGGTGCTGGTACATGTAGAAAGTAGGTGCCATAATTTCCCCTTGGGTTCCGTTCTCCCCTGTGGCATCTACAGACAATCGTGCCATCCACTTTCACCCTAGCGTACCCCCTCCCCCCAAGAACAACCTGGACCCTGACGGAAGAGGTGTTTGTTTTATTCTTCCGCCGGTCGCATGTAATTATGGCACACCTGTTTTTTTCCGGAGCTCGGCGAAAACCACCTGAGCCTTTAGTAGAGCCATGGGCCTTTTGAGGGTGCCCCTTTTAGGTGGGTTGAAAGGGAAACCTGCAAGGGTCCTCCTAATTTGGCACATGCAGGGCAGCAAGGGAGAAGCAGAGCCATCCCGAGGCGTACCTCCCGAGCATGTGCGTGTTGATCCCATGCCTCGCCATGCTGCTGCACCGGCTGAGCAAGGTGGGAGAGGGGCGGTGCAGAATTGGCGCGGAGAGTTGTTTTTTGTTTTTGCTTACCGGTAGTTGTTGTAATTGTCGTTGGTCCTTGTTGTTTCCTGAATTTTGTGAGTTGTTTGTTGCGGGGCGTTTTTCTGCTCTCCACCAGGAATCCGCGGCACTGGGCAAAGCACCCCCTTCCAATTTGGGGAGGTACGTGCCTGTTGAGTGGCAAAACGCGCACCATGTTCTGGAAGCAGGCGCCCGCCTGTATCCGGGGTTCACCCCAATAGAACCTCTGTTGAATTTTGGATTACACTCGAAGGGCTTTTATAAACAAAATGCTGGGCATCGACAGGCAAAGGATAACTGCTGGAATTGTCACAACAAAAGGACTCGACTCTTCACAGGAGACATTCAATCCAAGACCATGCCTGCGCACTTTGCAGAGTGATTGGGGAGCCTGCAAGGAGGCATGCATTTTGCGCTTTGGTCAGGCCATCCGGCCTGTCGCAGTAGTTGCCGGGGCCTCGGTGGAGCGTTGGACAGGTTTGGCTGATTCCCCAACTTGTGTTTGCTGCGGCGTTACAATGGTGACACAGCCCGCAGTCAAGACCAACCTGCGTACATAATTGTGCATCCATGTGAAAATAAACAAGTAAGCATGCAACATGCATACATATATATATATATATACATGTCTTATAGATACGCATACATATTTGCCCCCACCTTTCCCAACCAGGACCTTTTGGAGCAGAGGGGGGGGACGCTGCGACTATTTCAATCGATGCATCTCTGGAAACACCCACATGCCGTGCAAGCAATGGCAATCATGCGGCCATGAAGTCAATGAAGTGGAAGGTTTGAAGCAGCGCCAACTTTCAATGTTCCACATGCGGGCAGGGACAAAGGAATGCTGAATCGAGGAAAGCAAACCGCGAACGACGCGTTCAACGCGAATACGTACAAGGGCGTACACATACAGATGCATACATGGTTTATTTTTACATATGCACACATACATGCAAATCAATATGTGGATGTGTTCACATGCGTAGCATACATACAAATATTCATCTAGACATGAGTTTAGACGTGTACCTGTACATATATACATAGGTATGCATGTTTCGGTACTGGCATAGATGCTCCGGGCGTGTGGCCCAGCACATGATCAAGCCGACTCAACGCGCCATCATCTCTTGCGCCCGCCTCGCGCCTCAGCCCCGAGGCGGGCGCCGGTTGCCTGGTGATTCTGTGTGCTTGGCGAGCGGACGAGGCGCTGGCTTTGAGTGCTTGCGCAGGTGTGTCATCGCAGGCTGTGTCTGAGTCCCAACTTTGGGACCTGCGGGACGGTACGAGGGAGGGGAGATTTGCATTATTGGGTCCCCCCCCCCCCCCGGCTGTCCCAGACGCTGTGAAATGGGTTGGTCAGCCCGAAGGTACGAGGGTAAACCGTAAACCCTACAGAAAAGAGGCCAAGGAGGTGCGAGCGAGGGCCAAGGAGGCGAGCAGACTTTCGAGCAGTTGGGAGATGCAGGTGTAGGCTCCTTGCATGCTTCGAACAGGTGCTTAGCCTTGCCGTGCGATCGTGCTTCTTTGCGCGATGCAGGGTGGAAGTGACTGTCAAAAGTTTCTGCGCTTCATTATTAATATAGTCTATCTCATTTATGCTCATTTGGGGGTGAGAAGCGCTCACCACGATAAAGGGTGTACTTGGGAAATTTTAAGTGTTTCGAACTATCGAGTACCCCTTCAGTCGTTTTCCTGGCCGCGTTGTTTGAGAGTGCTAACCTCCAAAAACCAACTGATCCCTTCCTCAAAATTTGCCTGCCTCCTGCAAGTGTCCTCGCTTCCGACTTGCCAACAGAGTGTGTCTCACCTCTCGCATGGTGTCAGGTTGACCAAGAAGTTGGCCAAACAAAACCGCGCAGAGGCACGGGATAAGCCACACCTGGGACCCAAGGCTTGGCAAGCCCCAAGGTTTGCCAGATTCAGAACGAGCGTTTCACAAAAGGTGAAGCACCCTGCAGACCAACATGGAACCCCAAACGCCATCATGTCTAGAGAAATCTGCTACTGGGGAACGCCCCTTTGTGGGCCATTTCAGGGTGGTGGGTCCAAGCTTCAACAATCGGAAGCTCGAAGGTTTGCCATTGAGTCTTCAGCTGGGTGGGGCGCGCCTTGTTGTTTTTTCAGCTTCCCTAAATGGACAGGACCAGGAAATGGGCGCCCACAAGTTGGCTTCTGAGGTTTGGCAACCACGAGTTGCTGATCACTAGGGGACATGAAGGACCCGGACAGCTCTCGGCTGTGCGCAGGTGGCCTCTTATTGGAGCCAAGGCTCCTTGCCCTTGTTGGAGGTGCGGGGCTCCGGGGAGGCTTGGGGGCATGCAGTACCTCTTGCCTCCCTGAAGAGGGCGCTGCTGAAGGCTTCTCTTATTCTTATCTAGGCATAGCCCCCCCACCTTCAGGCTGCCATGATGTGCTTGCTGGATACACCGAAAGGACTGCCAACCAGATGACAGAGGCCATCATATGGACGCTTGACTTCGCTTGGCCCCACCAAACGTAGAGGTGCATAGGCACCTGTCGGAAGACGAGTGTCCTTTCCAAGCCCTTCCATGTTTGCTGATGGGGTGGTATCTCCGAACTCTTTTCCACCTCGAAGGTCCTTTGAGTTAAGGCGAACCCTCGTGGGCAGGAAAAGCCCCTGCGAGAAGTTGACCGCTTGTGTCTTGATGTTGTTTTACCCTTGCGGCCGCCATGTTTCCCGAGCCACCCCCCCCAGCGCATTCTGCGTGTGTGCGAGTTAGGGTTTGTTCCAAGGCTCTTGCCTTCAGAGGATTTTGCAGGGTCTTCCCCGTGTTTGCAAGCAAGCCACCATGGTAACCTGCGGGAGGCAGGAGTCCCTGGCTACCTTGTGAAGTGTCTTGCCTGAAAGCACGGGGGGTGATATAAAAGCCGATTGCTGAGCTGGGGCATGCTCAATTCCCCTAGGGGAAGAACGACCCCCTTTTTACTGAGAAGGGATTCCTGTTCAACGCCAGAAAGCAGTCACGTCACGGGCACAGATGTTTGAGCACTGCCACCAGACCAGCGAAGCTCAACTAGGATGTCTAAACAATCGGTGTTTGACCATGTGTTTGCCATGTGGCCGTCCCAATTCCGGATTTGTTGCCCCTACTTGCCATAAAGTCTCTGGTTTGGGACCGGATGTGCCCTTTGGAGAACCACAAGTGGCTTGTTCCCCGAAGAGGAACACGTCAGGATTTCGCTTTGGATGCTGGGGAACCTGAGGGAAACCTGCACAGGTTCCCGTTTGAGAGCCACTCATGTCTTGCAAAGGCTCTTGTGGTTGTGAGCCTGACATGCATAAAGTTTGTTTTATCACTATATAGAAAAAGAAAACACAACGGCAACTACATACAAATGTACATAGTTAGAAGGGCAATGTTGGTACCACGCTGGTGCCAAGGAGGGCAACATTCACTCAGTACGGATGAGGGTGGGGTCACAAGACAGTCATAGTCTCCGACAGGTCATTCTCCGCGAAAATCCCGGCGAGCAGGCGCCCAAGCCATGCGTTTGGGGCAGGATTGAATTGCCTGCGAGCTGACCCATGATGCAGGTTCCTTATTTGGGATTCCTGATTTTCAGTTGTGAAATGGGCGGCATTCCGTCCTCGTTCTCTTTGCGGCAACCTGTGGGCGGTACGCTTGGAGACAAATGCTCGAACGCGTTAGCATGAGTCTTCACTCCGGATTTTGGATGGACATGAGAATGGCGTGCAAAAATCAGAGGGGTCCCCCCAACATGGCTTCCTTGCCATTCACGAAAAAACTGCCCGTGAAAAGCTGGAGGTGTTGAGGTGTTGATTCGAAGACGCTCTTTTGTGAAAAACAAACACCTTGGGCCTTGGGGAGCCGAAGGGGCACTTCCATATGGAAGCTCAAATGGGTGGGCTTCGTGAAGCCAGAGGGAAGCTCGGCGAAATGTACTCAGAGAAGGGAGTTCAGGAGCAAACAAGACATGACGCAGAAATGACAAAAGGCGCTCCCACCAGAAGTAAAGCTCATGTAATCGGCGTGGCTATCCTTTTGGGTGCCCTGTTACGAGCTAATTTGGATACTGACTGATGATTGCAAGTATCGTCGGTGTGCCTACCCCGCCGGGGATACCATATTTGTCGTCGCCATCAAATGTCAAACGTGGTCAATGAGCGTGCTGCATCCTTCGGCTTTCTGAGGTTCAACACACTGAAGGACGGAGCAAGCTGGGAGCGAAGAAGCTGCTGTGTTTAAACCCCACAGATGCAAGTCCAACAGCAGCTCTCAAACTCACCCATTACAGTGGGCAAATCGTTTGCTGACGACTGGGCTGCACGCTACTTTTCAGCCCTTTGGAGCTGCAGTTCTGCAGGGAACAATGCAAATCCAGACCTACCGGCCAGGGCCTGGTGGATTAGACGGGGCGGATTTTTTCGGCTTTTCCAGAATGAAGGGTTCCCTTTGAAACGGTGCAACCCCTACCCGGGTTTATTCAATCCTAGGTTGTTAATTATTTTCCTCGGAACCCCCCAGAACAAAGGAGATGGCCTTAACCAGGTCCCAGTCACGTTCCGTTTGTTCGTGGTGGGGTCAGGGGCCTTTCCCCCAAAAATGGAAAACCACAGATTTCCGCGCGAGCGTCTGACAGGACAAAGCACCATCCGCACTTTTTAGGGAAGTTCGGCAACCAACACCTGGGGATTTGTCCTTTCCCAGTTGGCAATGTGCCGAGCTGTGATATACAGAGGCAGTGGCCTCGAACATGTGGTCACTATGCAGGCTGGCTTGAACATGACCTTGTTCGCCGAACTTCGACTGTTGTTTTTGGCAGGGGGATGTTGCGGACATTTGGTCTGCCCATTTCTGCCGAGCGAGCTGGCCATTTCGGTCCTTGTGTCCAGTTCGCATGGTCAAAATATGGCTTCGTGCCAGTTTGCAAGCCAAGCCTGATCAATGACCGAAAGGAGTAGCATTCACGAGGTGAACCTGGCTGCTTCAAAATATCGAAACCCTCCGGGAACGCGCCGAAACCGAGCGCCTCAGGACCTCGGCACCTTGCACCTGAAGCAGGGGAGCTATGGGCAGGCCAAAGTTGCGTCGGGCACCCGGCCGGGAGCGGAGGGAGCATCCGAAAGCAGGGATCCCTGAAAGCCTTAAAGTTACCTTTGGGAGTGATTAAAGTGAACATTTGCTGGGATTCGTCACGTTGCCTTTGGAAGTGGTTTGTGAATGGACCCGGACGTTGCTCAGATGCCTAAAGTTCACAATTGGGCCGCTCCGCACGAAGGTCCGGCATTCCTGATTTCCGGCCTACTAAGAGCCGGCATCTGGGGGTTCAGCCTGTAGAAATGCTGTTTGGCCTTAAGCAAGGCACAGGGGGGGAGGTGAATGATTGCTTTACCAGCCCGCTTGTTGACCACCAAGGTACCTTCCTTTCAACAGTCACGGGACTACATGACTCCCTTGCTTTTTATTTTTTGAAGATGTGAGTGTGTCTTTCTTGGGGGAACCTCGTGTTGGTTGGTTTTAAAGAGAAACCAAGGCAAGCCAACCATTTGCGGGTTTCCCCCGCTTGAAACAAACCCATTTGTGTTCCTCCAAAATCGTGATTTTTCAGTGTGTCAATTCTCAGTGTGTCCTTGCAGACGGAGGGTCCCAAATGAGCGAACGAAGGGACGGGGATGAACGCAACAATCGCCTGCCAATTTACTTTCTAGAGATACCAAAGGACGAGGTGAGAATGGGAGCGGCTGGGATCAGCTTCCTACATCAATTCCCTGTGCTACAAGCGTGCAACCTGGGGATATGGAACAGCTGGAGGTGGGAGAGGGTCAACCAGCGGGACATATAACCCAGAGGTGAATTCATTGAATGCATGCCTTTGGCCTTCTCCGCCAGCCATTTATATCTTGCCTTACGTATCTCTTCCCCGTGTCAAGCTCAAAGGCAATAGTCAGGTGATGGACAAAATCCTTTATTCTGTTTAGTCGGGTGCCAGGGAATTTTCATGGCATGATGTCCCAAACGAAAACAAATCAAGGAAACTATGTCAGACTATGGAGGATTGGCTGAGCAGCGTTGTGGGGCAAAAATATCCCGCCTTTCTTCTCTCTCATCCTTGTTCTTAAAGTAATTCCATGAGATTTGGACAAAGAGAGATGAGGAAGGGAGAAGGTAGAAGGAAAGACCCAGCTCCCCTTTTTTCAACAATCATGTATGCGGACAGGGGGCTTCGCCAACAGGAAAGTGGTCTTCCAAACACACTCTGTCAGTTTCCGTGATTGTTGGAGGGACGGTAAGTCTCGCCGGATGGGTTGACTGCTGGCCAATTGTTTTTGTTGGTCTTCTCCCTTGAATGCACCTTGTGCTTGATCGCCTTGGAAGGCCCATTGAAAGGAATGGCAGATGTCTCAAAGAAAGCCATCTGAGTGGCTTCCAGTCTTGGCCCGCTCGACTTCCTGGTCCCAGGCAAACCTCTAGGATATTTCTTGGGCTTCTGCCGACACAAGATTTGTTAAATATATTTTTTTGACCGGGGTCAAACGCCAAGTTCGAGGATTCTTGGAGCTTGCAGAAAGCAAGCCATGTGTTTTTTCAGACATTCCTGAGCACAAATTCAACATTTGTCACAGTGGAGTGCCAAAGGCATGCCTGCGCAGCAAGTTCTCGCATCAGCCCCAAACTCCTGTAGGCCATTTTGGTAGGTGGTTCTGCTACCTGGCAGAACCAAAAATCAATCAATGGGAGTTGCGCGCTGCTAAAATGTGTCTAAGTTTAAGCCCAGACTCGGGAAGGTACATGTAGGCAACGCGTGGGAGTGACGCAAGCTGGAGCCCCTTGGGGCCTTGCTATGGCCAAAGCCGCGGGGGTTGATAAGATCCTCAGAGCATGTCAGACCGTCATTTTCCAGCATTCCTTGTGGTTGCTTTAAACATCACCTGTATGACTCATTTATGACAATTCAAATGTTCCTTCGGCTGGTGCAATATTTAAATGCGGAATATAGGAACACTTGACTTTAGCAGTGACGCTATGTACTGGGAAAAGGCTCTGTCTGCAACCTGCCCTGCCTTCTCACTTCCTATTGGGTTTCCTGCAGTTTGATCATTTTGTGGTACACGCACCGTGTAGACTGGATGTTGGGTCAGCCCACTGTGGAAATGACTTCTTTCGACACCTTAGTTATCCTTAGTTGCTTTTTGGTTTGACCGAAGCTGCCCACCATGTCTTGGTTGCTCCTCCTTGGTTGGATCTTTAACTGTTTTTTTGTTTGGAACATCTCTGCGTGTGCGTGCGTGTTTGTTCTCCCACGTTTTGCCCAGGGGTCAATTGCTAGACAGATCAAGTGGGGCCACCAACTTGTGCGTAGACCAATGCGACAGCAGCGCCTTCGATTGCGCAGGCTCGCCCATGCCTTGCGGCTTCGCGGGGGCGCTCAGAAACCTAGAGGCAGAAGCAGAAGCAGACCAGGGTTTTGACAAATCGGACCGGCTTGCCTGCTGAAGAACGTAAACTTTTGGCAGCTCAAGGCCCGGCAGCATTTTAGAGGGCCGAAGGATTGCTTGAGTTGAGCTTCGAACACTAGTTGGAATGTGCGTTTACGTACGCAAGATTAGCAGCCCCTGAAACCATGCCATGGGGTCCCCTCACTGTACGGCAGGATCATGCCTTGTTTTGCTGAGACCAAATCTTGTTTCAACATCTCTTCAGTTGAAGACACACTTTTGAACATAGGCTCTCCCTCAAATATTGCACTACGCCCAAAGCCGGCGTTACGACCGCTTTGGTGCTTCAGTCTGAACTACGTTGATGGCCCCAACAGGATTTCCAGACCTTTCGGACACTTGAGCGAGGGCAGCCTTTGGAAGGTGCCACGGTGTGCCTCGTTAGAGGCTAGGCGAGCCATAAAGGAGCCCTCATTGCACGTCCCGCTCCTGGCGACACCCAAACAATCCTCTTTCCATATGAGAGCAGAACGAATCAGCACAACTTCGACTTTCAGGGCTTAGGCTTTGGCAAAGTCTCGTTTAACGTTCTGGCATCTCACCGCCCTGCCTGTTGCCCCAACACAACGCTTTTCGAGCAGCCCCTTGGAATGCGAAGGGAGCATTAGGGAGGGAGGTGAGATGCCCAAGAGTCATGGAAGCTCAACTTCCGTCTTGGGCGCCCCTTGGAACACCAGGCCGTGGATAGAAATGTCGGAGCACTTCGAAATGGCTGGACCATCCCCACGTAGAAACATGTCCAGCGTTCCTGGCCCAACGGCACCGAGCCGAGAGCCGAGAGCCAAGGTCCGGACCACAGCGGTACCCTTTTGAATTTGGCCTCTTGGTGGCACAGGGATCATGCCGTCAGGCTTCATGTCTTGAGAGTGCTCTTAATCCGGGGTCTCCTCCAAACGCATTTTACATAGCAGGCTAAACATGAAGCAGAATCAGAAGATCAAGGTGTGGGCCAAGTGAAGGCTTCAGAGAACTGTGCCCATTTCCCTATGGACTTCAATAGTTGGAATCACCTCAAGCATGGCTGGTTGCCGTGAATTCCCATGTAAGTGATGTCCACCAAAGGTCCCCTGATCAGCATGTCTTTCTTGAATGCGCGTTGGTTTAGAGGCGTGTCCAACCCCTAGCTAGCAAAGGCTGATCATGTCGAGCAGGAAGTCACCTATGAGACAAAGGGGGGCCACTACACAGAGTTATACCCCGCTTTTTCTGGCTGGCTTGAAATAAAAGGCTGTCTCACCTGGGAAGCCACTCCTCGAAAAGCCCTGGAGATCGCTCGCGAACGAGGTCTCAGGTGCTCAACTGGGCCGTGTGGCCCGGGTCAGCTTGCCAGGGGGTCGTTGCTTGGAGTCCGTGGGGCGAACCGAACTAGAAGCTAGCCGGACGTCCAGCTGAAGCTGGCGACCCCCTGGTTTTGACACCCTGAACAGCGAGTTGCCAACAGGTTTCCGCGCTTCGAATAGAAAGGATCCCTAAGGAGAGCCCTGGCATCAACGTGATCAGCAAACTACAGGTTACAGGCCAAAGTTTTGATGGTATGGCCCCTATCTGCAATTCGCTGTGAATCTACCCATGGTTGTAGCTTGGGAGCACATTGCCAGACTTGGCAGACCTTTTGGCCCTTTTCCCTTTTGGGTTTCCTTCATTTTCCCTTTTCTCCACCACCACAAAGTTGTTCTTTGTTTTGCAGGATCCAACTCTAGCGAGGATCATATCAACAAGGTTCATGGTAGCTTGACTCAGTTGAACCTGTGCATCGATCGGTTTTTAGTTGAATCATGGCCCTGGACGGCAACAGAGATTCTACACCTGGACCAAGTACACTTGTTAAATAGATGGGTGTGTGTGTGTGTGTGTGTGTGTCTGGGTGCTTTTTTGAGGGTACTCTTTCGGGGTTGGTTTTGAAGGGAAACCAGCCCAGCCCATTGCAGAAAGAGCTGCTGCGTTTCTTCGGCGGTTTTGGTGCCGAGGCTACGCTACTGCACCAGTAGGGGCGCCCGGAGTATGCAGAGACTTCCAAGAAAGCAATGGGCTGTGAGCTATTCCTGCGTGAGCCTAGGATACGGCCCTAACAAGGCCTTCTTAAAGAGTGTGGCAGGGGATAGTCCTTGCATGTTCCTATATTTTTTGTCAATATCTGGCTCATCAACTGATCAGTCGCCGCACATGCTAGATTCTGGATGTGTAGGAGCACCACCCAGCTAAACCAATATGCATGGTCAGTTTGAGTGGTTGTTCGGCCTCCATCAGGTAACTTCCGCTGACATGGTGCGACTGTGCGCATGTTTGAACAGCGGAAGCTGAATATGCAGGGCGGACGTTCAAATTGCTTGCTGATCCGATGGACATTTCACTGATCGGCTTTTGATGTTGGTCACTTTCACATTGCCTGCTATCAATGGTTTTTAAGAAGGGATGCTTAGATCGAGACACGGTTTCCTTCCAAGGTTTGTTGCTTCGACTAGCCCCCCGTCGCCCAAGACACAAGCTTATTCCAGCTAGTGGGCACATATGTAACATTCTGTGTTGCAAATGCGAGGCTGCCCTCATGTACTCCACGCCTTGGGCTCATCTAAATGAGGTCCAAAGCCACGGCTGATGCAGAAGCGATGCACGGGGCCGAGATTTGGATGAGCCACATGCGTGACTGCAGCATGACTCCAACAAGGGTACTATCAACACCATGTACCCATATGAGTCCAAAGCACGCGTGAGAGAGAGAGAGAGAGAGAGAGAGAGCATGTCAAGCTGTCAAATGGCCAACATGGCTTTAATGTCTCAACACATGGTGCGGAAAGCGGCCCTGTCCCCGAGCGATATCGGTTCCTTGGGTCCAATGGAGGCGGTTGCTTGTGTTGCCATTTGTTTTCTCCAACGTGCACTGATCAATGGCGGGTTCCTCTGTCAAACAAGTTCAAAGCGGCAAGCACAGCAACAGCAGGGTACGGTGCCCTTGCTAGAGTGCTTGCCCCCTCCCCTCGTGATCATAATTGGCACGCGGGTTGTCACGGTTTTGGCCTTCTTTGGAAAGGAATTAAGGCATGGCAACCGGGAAGGGCAATTTGCAGGTAAGAGCTCCATACCCTGAAATCAATGTTGGTTTGCGCTTGCCCGCCTACTGCCCCCTAGAGTGGATGACGAATGTTTGAAATTGGCATCCGCCCTGAAACAGCCGAGCAGTTGGATTGGTGGGGGATTGAACCCCTGGTTCTTTGACAGGAACAACCAGCCGCCTAGCCTCTAAACCAGCAAACCACCAAGCCTGGCTTGCGCTGAATGAAGCATTGGGTTCGGGCGGCCGTGTCTTCGTTTCGCAGAAACGGGGCAGCTGATTGCCAGCGCTTTCCAACGGAATTTCGGGGCAGGTACCGCCGCGCCTGCGCGGCTTCCAAGGCGCGGCCTAGAAACACGAAGTTGTATGCGTGAGAATAGGGGCACCCCGCACCCTTCAAAACACAGTCCCCGTGTTTGTGCTAGCCGCGCCCGGTCGAGTGAAAGACCTCATACCCCCAAAGTGGTTGTTTTTCTTTTGGCTTCCCTCTAACAGCGCGTGAAACGGGCATCCTAAAAAGCACAACCCCCCATTTATGCTAGCCGCGCCCGGTCGAGCCTCATTTGGGGTCTTCTTTGAAACTATTTCAAGTTTTCGGATAGGCTGTAGATAAAAAAAAAGGAAAAAAAACGCAATCTGACAGTTTTGTTTCATTGTACCCCCAGATGTGCGCCAAGTTGTCCAATCTCATTTGTGTGTTTCAGGAAAATGTGACATCAAGGCGAGAAATTCAATTCAACCTGACGGTCGCACGAAGGCGGTAGTTTTGTTTTTTTGTACCACCCAAATGGTTTGGACATCAAAATGCATGTAAGTCATGATGCCATGAAATCCCTGACTTTGGAGGCTAGGGTTCGAAACAACATCCCCTGATCCAAAGTAAGGTAAATGGCTGATCACCTTGCAATTTATGTGGTTGCGCCTTTGGGTAGAGGAGACGAGACCTGGACAGAAGCGCATAGGCTTTATCCGCTGATCCATGACTGAGTGGTATATTTGGGATTTGGATAACTGAAGGCCTTCATTGACTTTCTTCCGACAACCCAAGAACAAGTGTTCAGGGTAAGAACACTAGAATCTCAAATGTTGGCCTCAGCCACCAGCAATCAAGGACGACAGCATAGAAGCTTGAACAACTGGGGTGGAAGCACTTTTGGAGGTACTGTTGGAACCCGCCAGCCGCGACATAATTCAGCGATATCCTGTCATCCGTGGACCCACGCGGGCCACGGGCCAAAGCCTCTCCAACAGGGAAGCATCACAAGGGCCCTGTGCACTTCTGCGTTTGTTGGGAAAACCGGAACCTATTTTGTTTTTCCGACGCCCAGCAGGCAGCAGCACTTTTTGTTTGACCTTGAACTCGATAGACCCTACATATATCCAGGGTTGTACAAAATATTTCGGGCTCTATACCCCCGGAGCAAGCATAAGATTCCGGAGGAAGACATATATACACTTGAACCTCCCCATCTCGTCAGATGTGATGCTCACATTCCGGTAAATGTCGAGTTGGTGAATCGTACTTGGTGGCTCCCAGCCATCCCCTTAGCTTTTTAGCCTTTGAGTGTTTAGTGGTGGTTTCCATTTAACCCACTAAAAGGTGAACTTTTAGCAGGGGATCTGAGGGCAGCCTAGCGTAGTTTGTGCAGATCAGGCGAGGTGCAAGGCTCGACGGCTCTGAGGCCTCCGTGGCGCAGTGCCAAGGCTTGCGAAGCAGTCTCGTGGGCTTCGAGCTTGGAGTGGCCGAAAAGGGAAGTTGCGAACTAGGTCGCTGCTTGCATGTTTTTGTTCCCTCTCAACCAGTGTAATTAAGCCACCTCCACCCGTGCCTGGGCTCCATTGTCAACCAGCGGCCACGGGTGTGCTTGCTGATATGCAGAGTCTGCACCCCTCGAAGTGCGGAAGCCATGCATGACCACCTCCCAAAAAGAAGTGGCCATGGGCAGACTTCCTCAAGGGCCATCCCTATAAGGAGATTGTATTGTCGCTCAACTGATGGGAATCATGGCCCCCACATTCGGACCCGCCTCCAGATCAAAGTTGGTCCCCCCCTTTGAGATGGTTTTCTGTGGGTTTGCATTGACTCCTTTGATGCTGCATTCTCCCTGAGTTTCTAGACTTTAAACTTTTTATGAAGACCACTTTTGTGGTACATAAGCAGTTGCAGGGTCCGGATGGGAGTTTTCCAGGCTGCCAGCCGGCGGCCACTGAGCTGGCAAAGGCCCAGGCGTCCTTTGCCAGGATGGCCAGGGAGCCGGTTGGAGTTTTCAACAACCCCTCCCGCAGATTAATTCTCAGCAGCTTATGAATCCTGGGGTAGCAGTACCTAGTACCAATCAAATCAGATCGCGGGGACTGAGGTTGGGTTTTGCAACTTCAGAAACCACTAGTGGCTACTAGTTCCATGGGAGGATTGACCTCATCTGAGCTGCCCCCACAACAGTTAAAGAAATGGAAGCTCGAGTTGTGAGAGCTCGTCATGAAGTCTTTCAGCGAATGAGCGCACCAAAGATGCCCTTTGCCAGCTGTCCGCAATTCAATGGATGTTACTATTTTTTTGGCAAATATCATGTTGGTGGTATATCTAGAAGGTCTTTTCTGATCAACTCAGGAAGCGCGTCAACAGTCGCCTCATGGTCATGTTCTCCTTTGCCGGTTGCATCCATCGCAGGGGCGCCCGCTACGTGACAAGTGGGGGACAAGTGTGGTTTGGTGTGTCTAACATGTGTTTCCCATTCCCCCCAAGAAAAAAGCACACACAAAGCAAGAAGACCGAAGCTGAGTTATTGTTTTCGGTGGTTTCCCCTTAAACCTCACCCCAAAAATGGTTCTCCTCCAAACAGACACTCTCATTTCTGGCCGTTTGGGTCTCGCGAGGCCAACTTCGGTGGCTTGCTCTTGCAGCCCGACGCCTCGATCCAATCTTGGCAGCTTCCCGTCGATCGCGCCTGGATCTAATGTTGATTCAGGACTGATAAACCCGTCCCATTAGGGGGGTGTTCCCTCCAAAAGTGGTCTGAATCCCCACTAAAAGGGGACACCCCCCTATTAATCAACCAGGGGTTTATTATTCCGGGGTTAACATTACATTGCATGGTTTTCTGGGCAGAGTTTCGGGGAGCTGGGCTTGGAGTTTGGCTCCACAAGAACCCACTTGGGGTTTGGCGGGTTTGGCTGATCCAGGGTACATTTCCTTCCTGAGAAGAAACAAGCCGTTGGCCATGTTACTCAGAAAACATGTTGCGTCAAAATCCAAGATGAATAAAAGTACAATTTTCTTGCGAACAGCCACGAACCAGTGCGAGCCGTACCTGTTGGTTGCATATGCCAACTGTTCGCAGATACAGCCGTTGCTTTAAAGCACGACCCAGGAAACCGGAGTGGTGCCACAGCTGCACGGGCTGAGGTTGGGTCGAGCAGCGGAGGCCGCATCCATCCTCGAGGCAAGCTCTTGCCAGCCGCTCTCGGTGCTCGCTAACTACCAAAAGGGCGCCCACCATTTTGAGAAAGCCTTATCTACATCCCTGTTACCTTTTGTTTGGTTCCAACCAACCCTGTTTCTGCCAGGGTCGCTGAACGCCGACCCTTTTGCAGTGCTCAGCGAGTCCTGGGATAACATCTCAAGAGGACGTGTTTCACTCATGCTGAAAGCCCCTTAGTTGGGGATTCCATATTTCCGGTTCGGTCAGTCTAGGTGAAAATAGGTGGGGGAATGCACTGACTTAAGTCTTAAACGAGTATCATTGGCACCTCAGTGACATTGGCAATTCAGTGAATATGTGTCCCTCTATTTTCGCTCAGCAGCTTATAATCCCCTTGCCCTTCACAAAGCTATGATTGGAGCCTTTGAAGTCTGAACCTGGGGCCCGCGTTATGGGGTCCAACAAAGAAGGGCGAAAAGCCTGGTGCAGGCCAACAAATGAGAGAGGGGGTTTGCCTACGGTTTCCCTCAAGCCAACCTGAACCGGTGCCCTCAAAAACGCAGCCATTTCGGGCAGAACTCTTTGCATCTTGGAGCTGTCGCAGGCTGGCGCTCCCTGGGAGAATGCCGTAGATTCCGCCGCCGCCCTGGTCGATTCAAAGCGGGGGATTCCTCAGTCGCGGGATAGGCCACACGTGCAACTTTTTTCGAGGTCCAAAATAGGAACATTTTGGGACTCTTGGTTCTTCTGCCCATTTTCTGGCGAGCTCACCGGCTCGGGGGTAAAACCAGCAAAAGCCCATGATGGAATTGGGTCCTTGAGGATCCCTGGTAGTACGGTAGGTTGGTGGTAAGCAGCAGGCCTTGGCTTTGGACCTGTTTCGGGAACAACATCTGGGTCCAGTAAGCGACCTCCTAAAAGTCAACCCTCTAAGGACGCCCCCAGACGCAAAGACGATAACCCCTCAAGATGTGTCACTTCAATGGGCCCAGTACCCCGCCAGACTTTGCAAACCTGTTTGCCTATTTGCCCATTGTGTGTCCTTCGTACTCCCTCTCAACCAGCAAGTTCACTGCTTGCAGGTGGCCCAAGTCTGGCCAAGGATATAGTGTGGGGTTGCTTCGAAGGAAAACCCAAGAAAAAAAAACATAATTGTAAACGCTTCGCGTTGCCCGCCTCGGCCCAGCCTAGTTTGAGGGAAGGGTCAGGAACACCGAAATCCAGTGTTGGGAAGGCCCGAATACCTGAAGCTGGCTCCAGACAAGTCAGACAAGCCGGCCTCGCCTGGTTGGGCTGGGCCACAGGCTAGTCTCAGACACATCAGATAAGCCTGCGCTGGGCCTGAAGCTAGTCTCGGGCAGCTTGGCTGGACCTTCCTTGCTTGCGTGGGTTGTTGGTTGAGCTGAAGCTAGTTTACGGCGGGCTGGGCAGCCGCACTGAGGGGGCTGGGCTATGGCTGGGCTGGGCCTGAGGCCAGTTTCAGACACGTCAGACAGGCCTGGACTGGGGCTGGGCTAGACGCTAGTTGAGCCCAGGCTGGTGAGGCCCAGTCTCGGCGCTAGATAGGCTGAGGCCTGCGAGTCTCAAACCGGGTGGGCTTGGGTGGGGTTGGCTTAGGCGGGTTGCTGGTTGGGCTGGGCCTGAAGCTAGTCTCAGCCACGAGGCTGCGAAGCCATGGGGGTGGTGCTGGGCAGCTGGATTATGGTGTTGGTTGCGCCTGGAACTTCGGCTGGCTGGGCTGAGCTGTGCTTGGGCGGGTCGCTGGATGGGCTGAGGCTGGGTAGCGAGTTGCTGGCTAGGCTGGGCCTGAGGCCAGTCGCAGACACGTAAGACACGCCAGCAGGCGGGCCTGGGCTGCTGAGTAGCTGGCATAGCTTGAGACCAGTCTCAGACACGTGAGACTGGTCGTTGGCCTGAGGCCAGTCTCAGACACGTTAGACAAACCTGACCTTGGCACACTGGGCTGAGCCTGCTGGGCTGGGAGTTGGCTGGCATGCCCTGAGATGCGCTGGGCTGGGCAGGCTTTGGGCTGGGCCTGAAGCTAGTCTCAGCCACGAGGCTGCGAAGCCATGGGTGGGTTGCTGGCTGCCGGGCAGCCGGACCAGGCTGCTGGTTGTGCCTGGCTGGGCGGGCTGGGCTGAGCTGTGCTTGGGCGGGTTGCTGGATGGGCAAGGCCTGTTTCATACACACTTGGGCCTGAGGCTGGGTGGCGAGTTGGCTGGGCTGGGCCTGAGGCCAGTCGCAGACACGTAAGACACGCCAGCAGGCGGGCTGAGGGACTGGGCCTGAGGCTAGTCTCAGGCTGGCATACTTTGAGACGGGGCTGGGCCTGCTGGATGATTTGGGGCCAGACGCGAGCAGGAGGTCAAGGCCTGGCCTGGGCTGAGTTGCTTGGGCAGCCGGACTGAGGGGCTGGGGCACGTCAGACGGGCTTGGTGGCTGGCATAGCTTGAGACCAGTTTCAGACACGTGAGACTGGTCGTTGGCCTGAGGCCAGTCTCAGACACGTTAGACAAACCTGATCTTGGGGCCGGCCCAGAGATGCGCCGGGGCCTGGGCTGGCGCTGGGCTGGGCTTGCTGGACTTGGGGTAGGCCTGTTTCTGGGCTGACAGGCCTGGCCAGCAGGCGGGTTGCTGGTTGGGCTGGGCCTGAGCCTAGTCTCAGACACGTCAGGCAGGCCTGGCCACCAGGAGGTCATGCTTTTCAGGACAAAAAAGCAATTTTTTAGTGTTTTCGCGCACATTTTCGACAAAAATGGACCCATGGAGCTGGACGCCGACGAAGGGGGAAAAGCGAAGATTCTCTTTGGAGAAGAGATCTGAGCGCCCTTGGCCCCTTTGGGGCCGAGGCGAATTACCCCCTGTAGGCTTTCCCCATTTTCGAGACCAGGGCCACAGCGTGGCTTCCATTCCAAGATGTATTCCTGATTTCGACATTTGCGCAAATGTGCCATATGTGTTTTGTGATCGCTGAAGAATAACGCAGACGGACACCAGGTATGTTTCATGATGAGGCCGAACAGCTCCGAGAGAAAGGCACTGCTTAGGCTTAGGTTCCTCGACCAGTTTCTTTCTTGCGTTGGGACCATCTTCCAGTAGGAACGACGCACCAGTCCGTTGGCCCATCACTACCCGGAGTAGAGGTGGTGATGGCAGAAGCCAAGTCGCACTTGCAGGAAGAAGAAGCAGAAGGAGAAAGGTAGTGTTGGTGATGATGATGCTCGTATTGCTCGCGGTGGCGGCTCGCAAGGAAGTTCGCAGTTCGGAGTAGAAGTGGTGGCGGTATGGGGCGGCAGCAGGAGGAGAGGGTATTGGTGGTTTGACGTATCGAGCAACTTTCATGTTTGAGAGTGGCAACTTAGATTGCCCATGCCAACTGCCGCACCAATCCAAGGATCATGTGACTTGCAACCCTTTTACCGGCATGCAAGGACTTTTAAATTCGATTCTGGAATTCCAATCCTCTTGTCAAAGAAGCAGGCAAACATACTCGGGCACTGCGGCTGGTTTGTTGGCAGGGCTTATCCTGGCCTGGGCCGGAGAAGCCGCAAGTGCCCTCGTTGTCTTGCGCGGCGGGAACCAATGGGTCAACTCACCGAACCGTATCATTCGGTGTGTGATATGGGGTTTGCATGGTTCCATTTGCCAGCGAGCTTGTCACGACCACTCATTTGCCATGGAAGTTGAATGGACTTCTCAGCCAAAGGTCGCCTTTGGTCCTGTAGCCCCACTCTGCTGCGAACTGTTCTGAGGCAAGGGCGCCAGGCCTCTTGCACTTGTGCCTGGCCTACCGTGCCCTCAAGCGACATGAAGGCGAAAAACCGCGTCGGCTTCTCCAATGCGTGCTCCATGGTTGGGTGGTCCACCAGTGGTAGGTCGAATCCCTGGCTTGTTGGACTTGCTCACGCGAGTGGTGGCAGGGTGTCTTGTCTGTGTATGTTTGAGAACGTAAGTGTGCATCTGCAACTGCGTCTGCGCGGATTTGTGTGTGTGTGTGTGGCTTTGGTGCCAGAAGGCTGCAAGCCCAACGAGGCTCCCTGTGAACCTGCCGAAATTGTCAGGTAGGTGTTGAAACTTCAAAGGCGCTTTTTCGCGTGGACATTTCACGACAAGTCCAAATTTAGTACAACCCTCTAAGCGAAAATCCTTTAATTTAAAAGGGTCAAATGGGAAAACCTGGTTTTTGGGCAAGTTTTGGAAAAATAAAGGTTTTCCAGGGAAAAACCTGGTATTTCACTTACATCCTTTATTTTGGCACTTTTCGCAAGCGAAATGTCGTATGTTTGAAGAACAGAGCAAAGGTGCCGGATCTCGAGCAGGTGTTGAAAGGAGCCGCCAGGTTTCGTTCACTGCCAAATTGTGTATTGGGTTTCTAGATGTTTTTTTTGGAATCTCTTGTTTCCTTTTGTGCCGCCAAGTGCGCGATAGCCCCCTGCTCCTCAAGATTGGAGCTCAAAAGGTAGGGGTAGACGCGAGGGCGTGGTCAGCCAAAACTCAAGAATGAAGCGGGACAACCAGCTTGAATGTACAAGTGTGCAGTTCGCGACATGACCATCAGTAGCTCTGCGTGATTGACACATCATTCTCAAGCATGGTACTTCTTTTGTACTGTTTAAAACATAATGCAGTATCCCAAAGTGGCACTTGCATTTGTTACTCGGCTCGGCGCACAAGCCAAATGCCAACAAAGCTGGCCTCCGCCTAAGTCGCACTTTCTTCCAGCACCCAGAGATTCCTCATAACTTCGATTCGGTGGGAAGCACCGTCCAAGCCAAACATGTTGCGTAGTACGTGTTTGTGCCCGAAAACCTTCGGACGTTCTACCGCAATGTCATACAAAACCAGTTCGCTGCTCGCGCAATCTAGCTGTGTGCCGGCTTTTCTTTGCTGGAAAGCTTCTGGAAGGGCGAGCGCGTGCGAAAAAAAAGGAAACCCATAAGAATCCCATACGAATCCCATAAAAATCCCATACAAACACATATTTTTCCGAAAACCCGGTTTTTCCTAACCCGTACAAAAACCGTACAAATCCCATAAAAATACCGTACAAACCCGTACGCGATTTATGGGATTTTCAGCCTCTGCTCAAACAGCTTTCCAGGCCCGAGTTGCCCGAAATAAGCTTGCAAAGTGACCCTGCGAAAAGCAGTCATTCATGTGTTCGTCCCACGCGTCTTTTACTACCTGCTGTCCAGTGTTCAAAGTGGGTTATGTTCTTTTGGCTCGCTCCGAAAATGATGTTCCTGCGACGTTTAGACAAGCCTGCGAGAAGCTCCGGGATCAATGCTTTAGCACGGGACTTGGTTGTCAAACAAGTGAGCATTTGCAAGACGGCCCTCCAGATGTATCCGACGCGAGCTTTACGCAAAAAGTCCCAAGCAGATTGCTCAGTGCCATACACAATATGTATACACGTGCAGCTACCGTTTGCGGTAAACTGGGACTACTTGTTGCCCTTGTCAGAAAGTTCATATTCCAACGCTGTTTTAAACTTCCCGAGCCACGATCTGGGAAGCCTTCCCAACAAATTGCGGATTGACCATTGTTTCGAGTTCAGCAGGTGATTTGCAACAGGTGCCATGCTCAATGAGCTTGCTTGGATGGGATTGCTAGGCGGCCGTGGAGCGTTTTTAATGGTGGTAAGAGAGCCAACAAAAGGATTGTATTGAGGGAACCACAATCATAACTCACGCAAGACCATTCTGATTACAACGCAAAAAGTAAAAACCCGGTATTTCCTGGAAAAACCTGGATATTTTGCCATACCTTTAAAATACACGGATATTTGCTTAGAGGGAATACCCCCTTTCTGAGATTCAGCCTCTTCAAATGGTGTAAGGGAAAGCGGCAAATTGTGATAAGAGGGGGTAATTACTTCTTTCTGCGGCCTCTTCAAACGGTAATTTTCTGCACATTTAGCAGTGTTGTTCATCCTTGGATTCCCCTCTAAAGTCTTTCAACCGCAAAGAGTTCGTTCCTTACCAGCGATACTGAAGAGCTGAGTTGCACTACAAGCCCAACCTTCGCCTGACCGTAAGTGTAAATACACGAAATACATGCGTGTGTATCGCCAACCCAGGAAGCAAGAACCCCTTTGGGTTGGTTTAAAATTCTCACTTCTGGACCTTCCCAACTTCGGAAAAGTCGATCTACGGCGCGGCGCGCGGCAGACGCGGCGCGGCTGTGCCGAGCCTCCGCGGCGGCCAAAGGCGCCAGGGCCGCGGAGGCCTGGTGCACGGAGCGGACCTGGTGAAAAACCAGCGGTTTTCTTTGGTGGCCAACTGGGCCTGGGGAAAACCAGTGGCTTCTTTTTTGTGCTTTCTTTTGGCCAACTTGTGATGTGGAAGGCCAACTGGGTTCATGGCCTTTTTTTTGAAGGGCCGAATGGGTGATATTCTGGGCCAAGCCGAGCTTTTGTAGATCCCGAGGCGGGGGCACATGGGGTATTTGTTGGTGCCAAATGGGCGAGAATTGTTTATTCCATGTGCTTGTCGCTATGAGAGCTGGAACCCGTGGCGTGGGCGTTCGGTCTGCTGATTTCCATGTCAACCAACCCTAAAATTGGTGCCCTCCAAAAGAGGACAACCCCAAATAGCCATGGAGGTTTGAAACCATGGCAAGGGAGTCCACTTGAAAGGAAGCGCAAGCGAGTTCACGGGTTGCCGAGCTGCGGCTACCTTCAGGCAAATGCAATCGCCCGCCTGCGCAGCCCGTGATCCAGCACGCTGTATCCCCCCCCACTGAAAGCAAACTCACTTTGAGTTGTCCCAAAAGGGGATGCAAAACCCTCACAAACGTAAAAACACATCGGGAGCTTTGTGACCCTCCCGGGTTCCATCAGCAAAGTGATGGATGCGCCCATGGCTGCTTTCCGACTGGAACGGCAGCTGTGCTGCGCCGCAGCCGCCCGGAGAGAAGCCAAAGTGACAGATACCCCACAACTTGCTGGGGGTTCTCAAAATTGGGGAACCGCTTTGCCCAGCCCTCCCACAAAGATAAGAAGAAGAAGAAGCAGAAGTGGTTCCCTTTGATTTCGCTTTTGAACCGCTCAAAAACGCACCCGAAGACACCCAGGGATAAGTCCAAGAGACCCCATCCCTACTGTTCAGGATCAGCGGCTGGCTCTCTGTTTTTTTTGGTTGGCGGACCTCCACTGAACATCGTCACCCCCAAGAACGATGTCATGGCTTCCCAGTTGCCAGGGTCACTGGACATCTGGGCCACGTACCCATGGCAAATGCCAGTATAGGTTTGGCCCAATCCAATAAACGTTGTCCAACTCTCAGGTGCCAACATGTGGCACATGGTTCTGTCCTAGGCCCTTCTCTTTTCCACGAATCAGAGAAGCTTACTTGCCTTCCACAGCTTTCGGAATGACCCAGCCTCAAAATACAGAAGCTTGGTGGCCGAGCCGCCAGGATCCGAGGGCAATTAGCACTCAGGCAACGACTTCAATTGACTGAACCCTGGCTGGCTACAGGAGCACCCAAACAACTCACTGAATGCCAAGTGATGCATTGCCGTGACGGTTGGCTCAACTGGCACCGCATTACATGTTCTTGGGCACTTCATGTTGGGCCATCGAAACGATCTTGGACTGAATCGGGGGGGCGGGGGAAATCGATACGGCGACTGGCCATCTCCCATTTCCCCGACGGGCTTGGCAGGTGCCGCTGATTAAGCGGGGAGCGTCATTCAGTTCAGCGCCTGTTTTCCTCTTCCCTGCCTCAAGCCACGAGGGAGCGTGCCATGTCCAGGCCTAGGGTCACTCCAAGCCTTGCTGCGATGGGAGTTAAACCCTGCCGGCATCCCATCCAAGACAACTCCCGCAAAGGCTTCCCCCTCCACAAAAGGCGTGCGCTTTGAAAAATGCCCTGTGCGGCGGAAATATCATTCCGCGCAAAAATGAGGTGTTCAGAAATGGACCCCTTTTTTTGTTGGGCTTATTTTGAAAAGCTAAGGAAGCAGGTTGGGGACCTCCGAATCCCTCGCACAGCGCTGAGGTTTGTGTACCTCCTACAAGGCGCAGAGGTGCAAGACTCCTCCCCGCTGCGGGATCGGCGAAACAGAAGCTAAGGCAGCAAGTTGAAGGACAACAGGGGGTTCTTATCGGGGTCACTTGGTGTTCCTTTCAATAGTTGTATTATTACGTGTTTTTTTTTGTGTGTTTGGCCGGGGGGGGAGTCTCAAAAGTTTCCGCTGTGGTTTCTGGTCTTTTGATTATGTTTTTTTTTGTTAATGGCGTCTTCTTTCTTGATGTTTCCGCTTTTTAGCGTTTTGCGGGGGCGGGGGGGGTCCAAGGAAGCAGCTACTTTGCTTTGTTCCAAGCATTTTGGTTTGAGGGCAGGGTTGGCTACCATTTTGAGTTGAGGGGAGATCCTCGTGTGCGCCTGGCATAGGTGGCATGGGAGCCCGCCCAGTGATGCCTATCACCATTGGTGCCTTCTTCCCTCGTATGCAGATAAACAAATTCACAGCAACCAGCTGTCGGGCTGCTATCTCTGGACGCGGGGGTGGGGGATTCAAGTGATTTCATTAAGCGTCCTTTTTGGCAAGGAGGTGTTCGAGGAGGAAATGGGAAAAGGACACCCCGTCAGATTTTAAGATGGGAGGCCTGGCTGCTTTCGGTTGTTGCAACACCAGCCCACCGAAATGTTGGAAGTGCATAGGGACCCTTTCTAAGAGGGTGGTCTTCCAAAAGCGGACGCACATGCACCAATCCATGCTTAGCTCATTGATTGTTGGTGGAATTCCATTGTTTGGTGATTGACAAGGGAGGCTAGGAAGTTTCCCATTTAAGACAGACCCCAGGGTGGAGAGAGGGTTGTTTGTTTGGGTGTTTGCCATAAGGAGCAATGAATTGAAAGTATGGACCTCGTGAGGGACATAGGGAGACCTCCTTCTTGAGACTTCCTACCCTGATGGAAGAGGTACCTTGTTGCGAGAGAAGGGCGTTGAAGGCAAACCCTGGTTGATCCTTGCAAGCTGTGAGCTGAAAAATGCCCCCAACTTGGCAAGACACGGGGGCAACAAGCCAGTCAGCCTGCAGAAAAAAAACAGTGATCTGCCCGGATTCCTGCTTTGGGCTGGCAGGTAAGACAATGCCTCCCCAAGCACTTGGATATGTGTCAAACCTGGGTGTCTCTCCGTCTCCAAGGTGGTGCTTCTTCCCCCAACAAGTCCCCAGTGACACAGCCACAGCCCATGGGGGGTTCTCAAAATACGGGCCCCTTACGGCCTAGTTTTCAGTTTTGCTTCACTTGAAAGCCAATGAAGGGGAGTCCACCATTCTGAGAACCCCCTGGATTTTGCGAGCTGGTTGACCTGCCTCCGGCGCGTTTTCCGAGGAGACGTGCTGTGGCTTACCTTCCGGCAGCGGTATAGCGGTCAGCAGCCCGACGTGCCTGTCTCCGACACGCTGTTCGAGCCTGAGGCGTGACACGGGCGAACTGGTCATGTACTCCTGTCAGCTGTGCTTGTTGGGTGCAGCTGGGGTTGAGGGCCCGAATTAGAAGTGTGTGTGTGTGTGTTGCGTAAATGCTGGCAAAACGGATGCTTGGACCTTGGTCCCTTAAGCGCACTGGTGGAAGCGGAGATGTCAAACAAATTGCACCTGATGATGGCGCGACGAGAGAAAAAGAGAGCAAGAGCGAGAGAGAAAAAGAAAAGCCAGAACGAAGGCCAAATTTACTGGCTTCCACAGGGACCTTTGAAACAAACCCTCACCGGGCCTTAAGCGTCGAACAGCATCGCGCATGCGGACCTCTGCCCGGAAAATGCGGTCAAGTCCAGCGAGCCCAGTGATGTGTGGGCCCTGCAAAAGGTAGTGGCTCCTCACTGCAAAGGACCTATGAACCAGCCAGCAGGGTTTTCTGGGATCTAACGCCCTGCTGCTTTTTCCTTGGCTATCCTTCACCAGCTTGGAACAAACAAGGACACCGCCAGGGTCAGCAACAATGATAACAGTCCAGCTTTCCTTTTGGCAAAGGGCGATTGCTTCTACATGGTTCCATGAAGAGAGACCCATGTGAAAAGATGGTGTTTCTGGGAACACCTTTTTCCGGTCCACACCATTGATTTCTTCCAGGGTCAAGAGGGTCTATTGCTTTGTGGCAGTGGGTGCCATGGTTGCTCGTACACAAGCCTCGAAGCCGTCCCTCAAGGCTCCATAGGGTCGCTGGGCCTGGAAGGTTGACGGAGCTGGATGGCAGCGGTCCCAAGCAGAACGAAAGTTTGGTTTGAGCGGCAGCTTCGAGAAAGGTAACGTGTGTTGTGGAAAACGTCTTTTAGGCCCAACTTCTGAGATACCAAGAGAACCTACGTCACTGAAAGCGAGAAAGTACGCATGGAGGTGGCTTATTTTGGTATCACAGAACGGGTGCCTTCCCACAAGCATGGCTGCTGTTGGTATCTGTTGCTTGTTGCGTGCGCTGCTCCGGCAGTTCCTTGGCAGTTGGCCATCTCAGCTTTTGCAGGTTCTTGTGAGGCAAGGGTAGCGCCCTCACAGTTCCCTTCCCCCCCTGAAGATTCAAACCTTAAGAGGGGTCCTCCCAAAGAAGGCTTCTTCACAGATGTGACATGGCTCCGATAGGACGGTAAGTCATGGGGGGTGTAAGTCTGTAGGGCTGCCCCTCTGCCATTTGCCTGTGTGCATCCCTTTCGCTGTTTGAAACGCTTTGCAAACAGCTTGCTGTTTGCATAAGTTCGGCCAAGGTTTCTGGTGACCACGGTTCATTTCTTAGGCTATCCTCTTTGGGCTTGCTGGAAAAGGGAAACCACCGGAAAACCCCACAGGAAAGCACATGGTGAAAGTTTGGCGAATGGCCCCAGGTTTTCTGGGGCGAGGGCCGGAACCTCTTGCTGGAAGCCGCGCTGCGGAAAGGCCATAGCGCCTGTTGGCCGGGGTACCTGCGGCTTGGCCGCAGTTGGGCCACTTGCTTAACTTACCTCTTAAAAACACAACTTTTTGGGTAACATGGGCTATATGTCTGTCAAAGATTAACTTTTTCTGTGCTTGGAGTTTTAAGGGGTAAGTTAAGTATGAAAGCGCGATCGCTTAAATGACCGTTGCCTCAGAGAGGGATCAGCGTGTCTTCGCGTGGTTGGGGAATGTGCTGGGCGTTGTCAGAATGTCACACCCCCATTGTGGATGCTCTGGGCAAGCAAACCTCCTTTGGGTTTCCTCTTACAGCCAGCTTTGCTGGATCCTGGCCATGGGGCAAATCCATCCGCGCCAAAGCTCGGAATGCACAACCGGATTGAGACTGTGATTGTGTGCGTGTGCGCATGTGTGTGTGTGTGTCGGTGGGTAGGTCAGATTTGGGAGTGCCACAGCTGTGCATCATGCGAGGCTTGCTCTAATGGGGTCCATCCAATGCCTGGCAACACCTACAGAGATAGTTCGACCTCAGCATTTTTGGAGCTGGGTGCCAGGTCCAAGTGCTGGGTCAGCACCGGCCAATTCAGTCTTGTGATAGTCCGGCGGCAGAAGCTTTTTAAACCCGAAGTTGCAGCCACAAACCCGGAGCCCTAACAGCACTTTGTAGAGTCTATGTTCGTGATGTGCCATTTCATGTAATTAGATTTCTCGACACTTGTTTTCCTCTCTGGCTGCCGCATTGATTGAACGTTTCATTTGGTTTGGTATTGCCTTAGTTTAGCAGGCCTTTGAGCCTCCTGGTCGCACGTGCTTTGCTGAACGGAAACCGGTTGCCCACATTTAAGCCCAGAACTACCAACGGACGGGGCCCCTTTTTTCCAATGGCCACCGGGGGGCGCGGTTGTAATGTCCACACGTTTTTTTTTGAATCTAGTGGTATCGCCTGAAAGTGTGAAACCCTTTTTGATAGGTAGCCCCTTTGTTTTCGAAACAACCCATGTCTAGTGACCGCACCATTCCTCCTCATGCCCGCAATGGTTCAAGCATTGTTGGGTCCATCCGTGATGCGATTTCTGGTGGTGAGGTTCGTTCAGCAATGACCTCTACGTGTGACAATTGTCCTTTTGTGACTGTGGCATTGAACGGACTTTGAAAGGGGCCCGTGAACAGTTTTGCAGTTTTGCGCATCCCACATTTCAAGCAGTTCACCCTGCCCTTTTGGTGAGGTACTACGTCTTTTTGGACGACGACATGTTGCAGATGATCTCCGAGCAAACGCGCTGGGCCTCCTTCGAGCGGTTTCTGCTGCAGGAGCTGCCGGCGGTGGGCTACCTCACGCGCACCAGGCACTTCCATGCGCTGGGCAAGGGCGCCCTGGCAATGGAGAAACGGGCCGGGTCAAATGTCAAAACCAAACCACCCAAAAAAAAACGCAGGTTTGAGTTTTGGTTCAAGTGGAACCAGGGTTCCATTTTGCGTACCTATTTTGGACCGTGACACCCAAATGGGATTGGGGGGGATGTCGGTGCCGCCTGGCAGCGCCTTTTCAAGGGCCAAGCTTCACTTGCCTATGGGATAAACGAGCGAGAGCCAAAGACTTAGAGTGTTTTTGTTTTGTGAAACATGGGGGTTCCCTTACTTCAGGTTTGGAATTATTGTAGAAATTGCCAGATTCAGCAAGGGACACGACGGGGTTGTGGAAGTGATTTGATTTGATTTCAGAGAAGTATGTTGTGACCACCATAGCCCGCTGCTCCAAATTCTGCCGGGACTGTTTCAAGACTAGCTGCTAAACAGGAATGAGAGTGAGCAACAAATGGAGCATCAGCACCAGCTAGCAAATATGCATATGAGTGGAATCCCTACAGAAGCGGGTGATTGTTACGTTTTCTTTGAGACCCTTTTTGGCACCGGAAAATGGTTGCCTACATTCTCAGAAGACCCTGCGCGACAATGCCAGCGTAAGATGTGGGGAGACTGGCATGAGGCAAGCCCCAAGTTTGCGGGCTCGCTTTCTTGGGAAGTGTTGCAGAGGTGGATTATTGTGCAATGTGCCGGTTTGCACTGGTTCTCACAGATGCGTGTTGTCTCCTGGATGCACTCGATTTTCACCCGGTCCGCACTTGGTGTTTTGTTGCTTCGGCTCATCGCACGTCGCTCCCCGCGCAGACATCTCGAGTTCGGAGAAATCTTGCAACAGCCAGTGCTGAGGCAAAGCCACCAGAGGCGAATATGCCAACATCGATCACAACGCCCTTGCATTTCACCGCGCTTTGGTCGCAAGTTGTGCCAATTGCAGGGACGCTTGCTAAGCCAAGCTCCAATTGCCAACCTTTGGCACATGTCTGAAATGCGGGCGACCTCCAGACAAAGCAACCTCCAGACAAAGCAACCGCACTTTGCAATCAGTTGTGGGTGGTTGTAAGTTCGAGCGTTTTGAGTGACCTGTCATGGATCTGCAATATGTGAAGACTCTCATCAAGCTCATGTAGATAAGGATTGTTTGCCCAAGTGGTGCCCTTATCTAGGCTTTGATGGTTTATTTGCTCCCGTTTTGGGATTTCGTTTGGGCAAGCGCAGCACACAGACCTGATTGTAAGATGTCAAGGGCCCTCCGCAGACACTGCGAGCACTGTGACTTACCGATCATTTTGTTCAAAGTTGGTGGTGCTTTTGGGACGAAACTTGCCAACCTTTTCAACCTGGTTCGGCGAAGGGCGAAGGAAGTACTCCCAGTTTTGGGGGCCGATGGGTTTGCTTCTTCAACGCTGTTGCCAAATAGATAGTCATATGGCTGTGGCTCAACAAGCCGGTACCCAAAATGGAACCCTGGTAAGTGGAAATATGGACCAAAACCTGCGGTTTGCCCCTCCTGTTTAATTTTGAGCCACACCCATATGGATTCGTTGATCTGTTCTTCCCTACTTTTCCGCTGGGCGGTTTCCGTCAGCTTGATGGGAAGGCCGCAGGTTGTGCGCCCGAAAATCGCCGACAGAAGCATAAATGTTTGGTTTCAGCGCGGATCTCTGCTCGACGAAAAGCCAGGGTGTAAGTCTCATCCATGTCTTACTTCCCCAGTTTCCGGACTTTAGCCAGTTTTGGGGAAGAAGACTCAGGCGAATCAGTTCAGCGGAGTTCAACGTTTCAGGCAACACGCTGGGCTCGTTGCTGCCATACTGCGACTTCCTGCAGAGGCAGGCGCTTGCGGTGTCGCTCGCTTGCACCGGGCGGGGAGCTAGCTGACCAATCCAGAAGCCGCTAGTTGAATGCGTTTCTCTTTTGTCCCCCTTGGTTGACAAAAGGCGAGACATGCATAGTATGTATATACGTACGTATTTGCATACACTTACATATGTTTTTATATCAAAGGTGGGCCCCTGATGAGTTCCACTCAAGTTGGGTACAGCAGAGAACACATGAAGAATTGCTCCGGCATGCTCACCTTGTCAACCTTTCGTTGGAGTGGGGTTCGCTTGGGGGACTTGCACTTTCACTCAGCGCTCCTCACCTGTTTCAGTCCCCAAAGTGCTTGGGCGCCCAAAGGCTACGACTGCAATGCACGAGGGGAAAACCAGCGCCCGCCTTCCGCCCACAGAAAGATCATCCGCCGGTGGCATTTGTGTCCATCAGATGCTTTCATGGCTTTCACAATGGAAGCTGGACATTGCATATGATGCAGGCCTGTGCCACAAGTCTGTCAGGTGAACAGGGGCGCAAGTGATAACGCTTGCTGACATGAACATTTGCTACACCAGGCGAACATGCCCGAACTCCTCAAAAAACACCGACCCTCCAGGACGCCGGCAAAGCCGGGCTGTTTCAAGTTTTAAGGCAGTTCTGCGCATCACAGCAAGGGCGGTTGTTTTTCCAGGGGTCCCTTAGGGCTGCTGTTTGGTTGAACCTGAGAGCAGCAAATGGTCCGACTGATGCTCGTGTTGCCGGAAGTACTGCCTCCCGACGTTTTCCAGGCCAGTCAAAGCAGGACACCATTGGCAAAAGACAGCCTCCACCGCAAATCGCCTACTGCAGCTCAGGGTAAATACGGGCCCGTATTTTCAGTGTCTCAATCATAGGTTGGATGAATAAAACATGTTTGGCCGATCAGCTCTGACCCGCCATCAACCGCAGCCAGGCTGGCGGTTGGCTGGTCGGGCGCCATCTTAGGTTTTCACGTGGGCGCCGCTCGGTGCCAAAACGGAAGCCTACTACCCCTTTACAAAAGAATCATGGAAGACCCCAAGCTTTCCGAGGAATGTCTTTCCGAGGAAAGGGTCCCTTTTGAGGGTTCCAACAGTTCTATGTGAATTTGCAGCTACATGCGCTTTGTAGCCATGAAGGGCCTACCAAAAGATGTTAAAGCGCAAAGGTGCCCACCTTCAAGATACTGGTGTTTGCAAGGGGGAACGCTTGTTGTCTTCGCAGTGGTCACCTAGCAAAGGACCCATGTGCCGTTTCGGCAAGGCTTGCACCAGATTGGGTGCATTGAGCTGCTGGAGCCAAGGTCCTGTTTTCCAACAGCCGGATCGGGCTGAACACCATCCGCGCAGTGCCTGGGCAAAAGAAGCCTGGGCAAAAGAAGAGCGAATGACCAGGTTCTTTGCCTCAACCCCGACTTCTTTTGTAAATTCAAGCTCTTTTGTAAATTCAAGCACCCAGGCAAACCATTTTTCCACCCTAGGTTGAAGTCTACCGGGACATTAATTCCAGTTGGGTGGAAAGCAGCTGGAAATCCCCAATGGACCTCCCCTGGCCACCTTGCACCCCGCGCGTGTCGAGCGAGGACCTGGAGAAGAACCTGCATCGACCCTACGGCCGCGGCGGCGGCAGCTATGCCTTCGATCTGCTGAAGCGGCGCTTCGATGGGGAGAGGCTCTACTTGACCGCCAGCTGCACTCAGACCCAACGAGTTCTGAAGACGAGTTCTGAACCGAGTTCGGTCCGATTCAGTCAGCATATCGCACTTATACTCCCATTGTGGTGGATGTGTTCCTGGCCAGCCCTTCCGCGAGGGCTCGCGTTGCCCCTACGCCACTGCGGAAATTGAGTGAATTGCCACAATGTAGACCAAAGACAAAGTAGATACAGGGTACCAAACACATGGCCCTTTTAACGGACCCCCTGTACGGTGTCTGTGCTGCCACCGTCCAAACAAGGGGCCAAAGCCTCTTTCTGTCCACCCCTCATTTGCCCCAGTTGGCATAGAAATCATATACACTAGGATAAAAGAGCCTGTAAGCTTTGGATGAATTTGGTGGACCCTGCCCAATTTGCCAGAAAGAGGGTCGTGGCTTGCTGAGGAGGGAGGAGCTGAGGGAGGCATATCTTTGGCTCATCGCCGGCTCTGGCGCAAATGATAAGTGCCCGGGCTCGCACTTGTGAACTTTCACAAGCTATCTCCGTCCTTTCAGGGGGCTACGGTGAATGCCCAAACATGGCGAGGGGAACACCCCAAGTTAGTGCAATGTACCGTGGTTTTGTGGTTGGACATGTTCTGGTTTGCTTGCAATATTTGGGGCGTCCACGTCCACCGTGGCTCTTAATTGCATTTGGACAAACTAGAACGAGCTCACTGATCAACAGCATTATTTCTGAGCAAATGCAGTTCAGGCAACTCACCGCATTCTGGACTGGCCCTCCCATATTTTCACCTTCAGAACAGGGGAAGGGAGGGTCAACCCACCCCCCCCATGTCACTCTCTTGGAACTGGTCCTACATCCGATGGCCCAGGCTTTGCAACTACCAGTATGACTGGCGCCTTGGTTCGGGTTTTTTGTCGGAGAGCCAGTCAGTTCTAGCACAAGAGGTTCACCATGTTTCACTCGATGCAAACGGGCATATCTAGTTTCTTAACTTAATCAACTGTTATTGGTGCAAATAGGGTTCTCTCGGGATGCCCAGCTGCTATGCCTGTATGCCGTTATGTCAGGTTAGCCCAGCATGATGCGCCCTGATGAAAAGGAGACGCAGTTCGGGGGGGAGGGGTGGCAGCACCTGAATTTCTAGCCACGCTGCCAGGTATTAGTGGGGAACATGCTTTGAGAGGGTCGCCTTGCCGCCTTGGCTTAAAGGGGGCATCACAAGAACCACCTTTTTGAAGGGGGGGCCATCCCTTCGATGTGGAGTGACTGGATGAGTTTTCAGGTGTTCCCCGGCACAACGTCTCAGTTGCGGCGCCAAGGAGCAGGAAACCGCCAGGAGAGCACCCGGCAGGGCCCATCAGCACAGCTTGGCTGTGGCTCGGCGTGAGGTCCCCAGAGGTCCTGTGCTCGGTTTGTCCTTTTTCTCAGGTGCCCAAGGCCAAAAAATGGATCTTTTCCCCGCTCGTCATGGCTCCAAAATGTGCACCTTTTATTTATTTTCTATGGGAAAGTTAGTTTTTGTTTGTGTGGAGGGTGTTTCCTTTGACATTGTGCAGTTGGGGATCCGGGGCCTATCGTGTTATTAGGTACCCTTTAGTTGGTGGTTGAGGCGTCTTAAACTTCGGTACCCATTCGTTGGTTTAGATTGGTTGGGGATTTGAACCTTGGTGCCTTGTGAGGAAAATGGGGAAGGCACCTGCCAACGTCCAACCCGCCTAACCAAACCATGAAGGGGTAAGGTGATAAAATCAAGGGGGGCCTTTGGTGGTCGGTGATTCCTGGACAAATCAAAACGAGGTGTCGTTTGCTTGGGACAGGGGGTGAGATAGTAAGATACATGTTGTTATTGTTGGCTGTGGGTGGTAGGGTCTCACCCCCTGAATGGCATGCTTGTTCTCAGTCGCGAGAGTTCTTCTAACCATGAATGGATCCTTATCCCGGGAATGGTCAGTCAGGTTCCTCAACTGAGAAGAAGCAATTTATGTCATTTCTTCTAACAGCTGGATGACCGACCTTGGCACAAACGCAGCAGGTAAAGTCACAAGCCGCAAAGGCAACCACTTAGGGGATAATTCGACGTTTCACCATATCTCCCTCTCCAGAGGCTCCCCTTACTTGCACAGGGTTCCTTGAAGGGTACATATTGGTCACAAAACACGTCGTTGTCAGGTGTTTGGCAGGGTTGCTGCCAGTAGAAGTTTTGCGTTTTTGGTTGAGGGGGGGGGTGTATCTCCTATAAGCGACCCTGTTGTACCGCGCAGGGTTGTGGGTGGCTGTGAGGCGGAAATGTGTGAGGACTGGGCAACTTCCGACGGTAGACCCAACTTGCAACAGTTGTGTATCCTCGTTTTCCGCGGAGAATCTCAAGTGCCCTGCGGAAAGAGCTGGTTTTGCAGAAACTCTGCGCTTCGCCGGTGTCTTAGTTGTCCATCGTATTTCAGCGCGTCATGTTTTTGTTTGGGATATGGAATCCGAAGCCGGCGAGCTAAGTAAGCCTCAAATGGCTGAAGGAAGAAAGGAAAAGGTAGCGTGTCTTCCTAACATGGTCATGCCACCCTTGAAATCGGGATGAGGGGCACCTTCATTTCGTCAACTGCTAGGTAGACAAGCAGGCCTAGAGCTTCTACACCTCTGAGATCATGGGAATGTATGTGCATAAGGCTCACAAATGTGAACCACAGTCGACGTATGTGTATATACATATATATATATACATATTCACATTTAGGTATATACATACATAGAATACCAGGCTTGCAGAATCAGAAGTGCGTAGTATATAGCCTGAAAACGGCCTGCCTGTCTGCGCCATGGCAAGCCACCGGGTAAGCAGATGAGCTGCGCTTGTAAGACTACCCCTTGGCGCGGGCTCCACGTTGGCACCACTCCCTTCTCCCCAAGCTGCGTCCTGAAATTGGGACCCCAACAAATGTGTTTTCATTCTAGGGCGTCCCACAAAAAGTGAGGGGTACCCAACAACAGAACAATGTGTGTGTGTGTGTTGAAATAGGCCTGCAAAATTACCATGTTCCCTCTCATTTGTTATTTCAAGCCACCCCAAAAGCTCCGAACAAAACGGGTGCCTGGTACGGCATCGGATTCGAGGAGGCGGAACATCAATGTGAGCCATCCTTGTGGGCAAGCGCCTGGGTGGCATCCGAAGTCCAAATCCCCCCGCCCATTTTTCAGACAGGGAACCCACCGGGGGTAGTTACCTGCTTAGCCCAGGCCAACTCAGGATTTCGTCCATCCATCACATGACATGGTTCCACGAAGCCCAGAAAAATTGCATAGCTCATGGGCGGCCGACCTGTTGACCATTTGGCAAAGGTTTGGCCACCCCAACCAACAACAAGTCAGAGGGCGTCTAGCTGCTGACCTTCCTTGAAGCCATCAAAACGGGGCTTCCCGACGGTTGGGCAAGCCCCACGTTGTGTGGAAGTATGTCTGGCTGGCAGGGGCCAGTAGGCATTGTACATGCATAGATGGGGCGTTTTGCGCTCCAAATTCGAACATGCAGAGGGAGACACCTGTGTGCCAGAAGCTTTTGCTTGAGCTGCATGGCATGATGCCCAGCGACCGTTGTCGCAGGGCTGTCCTTTGAACTCCCCATCAATTTCCGTACACTTCCTCACACTGGCCAGTCATGAAGATTAGCCATTGGGCAGACCCTCATTGAACACGGCAAGCGAGGCTGTACTTAGTAAGCAACTTGTGGCAAGGCATCAAGAGTCACGTCCTCCCTAGTCGTCCTTATTTGCAAAGTATTCCGCCTTTCCGGATGAGTAGCCACCTAACCCATTTAGGTGATAAATAGGCACACCAATCCAAACATTTGCGCCTGTCCGAGGCTGCCGAGAGATCCAATCAACCAACAAATCGATTTCCCTAGGCGCCCTTACATTGTGGACAAAATTCCATTTCGCACCGGCGTGAGTGCCTTTCTTTTCAATCAAAAAGGAGGCTTTCCTTGTGGCCTCCCTGCACACCAACCTGCAAAGTTAATTCTCAAAACTTGGTGGCTCCCAGCCATCCCCTTAGCTTCTTAGCCTGTAGTGTTTAGTGGAAGTTTCCATTTAACTCGCTAAAAGTTCGTCACTTTTAGCAGGGATCAGAAAACGGGCCGCCCAGAAAAAAAAAAAACGCGCCCGGGTTTTCTCCATGCACCTGGGCTCTTAGGTGATGTTCCGGTTCCTCCAGCGCCACGGGGCCTATTTGGACACGCTGCGGGGCCCAGAATTCCAGGCGCGGATGGCGTAGCGGCGTGCCACAAGGATCCGGAGATTTGAGCCGCTGGCTTTTGAACCACCAAACCATGAATCCAAACCGTCAATTGGAGGGAAGCTGAGTTTAAATGTCTTGCCCTTTTGAATGTCTTCCCCTTGAGGAGGGGTTTGTCGGTTTGGGAGACGCCCGAGAACACCTGATTGCTCAATTCGGAGGGCACCATCGCTTCATTTGGCTCCTGAGCTTTGCAGATTTGTTTTTGGTCGACCGTTGCTTGCCAGAGTTGTTACTTCAGCCCTCTATTGCAAGAAAACACCTTCATGAATTGGGCTTCAATGATACTCCGCGATTCCTCACCATGACGAGAGAGTGGTAAAACAAGGTGACGGGGCTTTGGGTGGCTCGTGCACATTCTAGAAATCATTCTAGGGGGGAAGCTTGAAACTTCTGCCTCCTTCATCCCACGCGCCTGCTTAGATCCGCGACATGCTTTCAGCTGCACGGGTGCTAACTGTTTGCCCAGATCTACAGCATTTTTTCAGCTACACAGCTTGCCCACAACTTTGGTCAGATATGCGGACATCTTCCAAAGTCTCTGCAACCCCAACATGCCTATATCGCCACAGCCATGAATATGCAAATTCAAGAAGCACTCTGTTGACCTCACCCCGACGGATGGTGTTGATCGTCGAGGGGATCCGAGAGTCCAACAAATTCCGGCACCAGTCGGCCAGCTGGGTCCCGACCAAGCAGGACGCACCCCCTGCATCATGGACGGCAAACAGCACCAATGAAAGGGGCACGGCTTTGCTTGCATGACAACCTGCAACCGAACGCGGTTGGTATGATCGTCAACTATGAGCGCCGGCCCCAACCCATCCTGCAAACTGGCCAACGTGCTCGAAATGCAGGAAACGAAGCACTGGAAGCTGCTTTTCGCAACAGGCACGAGCCGTTCCGAACCTTGTTGCCCAAAGCAAGCGGCTGGCTTACCGCATCGGCTTGACGGACACCTTACCCACGCCAAGCTCATCCATTGAGCCCCCCAAATGTGGATTTCCCGCTTTCCTGAAGAATCTTCAAGTGTGGGCCACCTGTACTGGGTAGGTATCATAACTGATTCTTCACCGTGCCGCAGGCAGACCCCGCCATCTTCAAGGAGATGAGGCACTGCCAATGGAACGCGAGGCGCGGGGTACTGCAGGGTCCGACTCAGGGAGTGCGGTTGTGTTCAATGGCGAATGAATCGCCCCTTGTAGAGCATTCATGAGCTTTCCACATGCTATGATGTCATATGCAATAAATCCTGCTTAGCTGCTTAACCGCGTCCCAGTTATGAACTATAGGAGCGTTCCTTCTTCAGTAAAGAGTCCCTTCTTCCAGAAACAAGCGCCTCTGCTGTTTTGGATCCTGAGTTGCTTTGGGCGCGGCAAGGTGAGAGGCAATCAACCCCTACCCTCTTTCCAACAAACGGAAGTGGACATGTTGCCGTCTTGCTAAGAGGATGGTAGTCCACATCCGATTGCACTCCCTGTACTGTTTACTGTTGGAGGGGGAACACTTGGATGAAAGTTTTGCTTTTTGGTCATGCCCTTTACTTGCCCACAGAACGGCATGAGGTGGTTGCCAACCCTTGGAGAACCATTGGGCGCCTGCTTCGTGGTGGCTCACCGCGTGTTCGCAGGCCTTGGGTTGGCGGCAGCGACGGGACACAGGCACGGGCTACGACGGGGGGCAATGGCTGAAACAGGTTACCCCTGTCCGCGAAACAAGCAAATCGACCAGGTAAAAGCAAGCCCTTGGATCATCCCGATGCTGCATGTTGGTCCTCAAAGTTTGACATCATGTTTTGCCAACATGACTCCTACCTCTGAGAATGACACTTTTGCTTTGGAAGGCGACCATCGTCTTGGAAATGCTGTGATTGCCCTTCGCCTTGTTGTTTGCAAGCGTAAATGGCCTGTCAACCCTGGGCTTCAAGAGCCATTTGGAAGTGAGACAAATTCGATGCACCTTGGTTCTCAGACGTCCAAAACTACTGGTACAAGGCAAGGGTTGCTATGCATCTTGAGTGTTGGACAGCCGAACCGTAAATGCACAAGTTGGTCTGGAGTCCGGAGGAGCTGTATCTGGTTACCAAGTTATGCCATCTCTTGCTGTGTCCCTCTCTCTCTCCCTCTCTCGCTTGACGGAAACGGCCCAGAAGCCGCCTGGAATCCTGCACGCATTTTGGCGGCAGCCACATCATAAAGCACCTTACATGTAGAGGGAATGAGTGAGTCATCCGTCAATGTTTACAACACGCAGACTGAGCCAATATAAATGCGCATGTACATGCATACAAACATCTATACATATCTATATACATATATATATATATATATGTATGTATACGCATGTGTATATATACGTATATATACATGTTTATTGGTGCGTTTGCTGCGCACGCGTGTTTACACGTTCGCATAAGCACGTGCATGCTTCATATGAAAGAACAAAGTCTAAATAAACGACTCGTCAACATGTACATGCACATGGGCACGTGTGCATGTGCACGCCCACGTATACGTTTACTGTATGCATACGTGCATACGTATGCTTCTGAGGCCAGCAACCAACCAGCCTTCCTAAGGTCCAATACTGATTCAGGGGAGTGCGAGGGCTGTGGTTTGCTGGACTTCGGTGCCGTTCAGCATGGCAGAGCAATGGCCGGAAGTCATATGACATACACCCTGGGTTTCGACTCGGCAGGTGCGGGCACCGGAGGGCGCTTGGTGCCGCAACTGGTATGCAACATGGGCGGGCCGTGTCCGGAGATGTGAAAGCCTGATGCTTCTGAACCTGGCGGATTGCTGAACAGTGATGGATCCTCGTGGGCTGCGCTGATCCAAGGGGGTGTTTTCCCGGCAGCGGGGTGCAAGGGATGCAGCCGAGCTCGGCAAGTCCAAGTGCTGACTTTGGAACCGAATCAAAGGTGTCGCTACTTCATTTGAAGCTTCCGGACATGGACATCTAGGCAAGCAATTAACGAGCACTGGGGCAAAAAAAGAGCATGATGAAGATCCTTTGCAGGGGGGGGTCATTGTTTCAATCTAGTGCTAGAATTCAATCCGGCATTCGCCCATGCGATGTTCTTTCTGGAGCTGAGCGGTTCCGGACACAACTTTTGACAGCGGCAGCGGCACCACCACCACAGCCACAACCACAGCAACCACAAATTCTAGAAACGAGCACCACGGCCACAGCTACAGCTACGGCCTCAGCAGCAAACTCATTTGCTTCCACGGCGAACCAGCAGCGCACCGCGAATCCCGGGAACCACACATTTCGCGGCACGGACTCTTTTTTCTTGCATGGAATAGGAATGCCTTCCAGCTTTATGGTTGAAAGTTGCGATTGAGACCGACCCAAGGAAAGCCCCGTAACAGATCAAGTGGCAAACCCGAAGCGCCGCCTTGGGCCATCCCACTCGGGAACTGAGACTCTGGGGATGGGAGCCAACCTTAGGCGCGGTCCACCATGAAGCTCAGGCGATGGCCAGCGGCGGGGCGAGCTGTGCTGTGCCAAGAGCTGCCGCGCTTGCGGCGGCCCCAGCTGTGAAGGACCGCGCGGGGGTGGGAGATCCGTGCACTGCGGCTACATTGGGGTGCTCGTTGAGTTGCCAGCAGAAAGATATGCTTTGCGAACATCTCTCAGCTTGGTCAAGGTTTGGGCTTAAGGTCAACGGTTTGGCCTGTGACTTGTAGCCGTTGGCGTCCATAGTTCCCAATGATTTGCAGGTTGGCAACTGCCAGGGATCGCCGGGGATTCTTCGAGTAGTTTGCTGTTTCGACCGGGCCTGTGGAACTGGCTGGGATGCCAGAGGGTGTTGCATTTTGGGGGCCTATTAGTAGTGGAGGGCCACGCCCAGCAATAAATTGCTTTCATACATACACCCCCCCTACATTTTTTTTCATCTTCCATCTTCTACCCTTATTTGTTTTCATCATTTTTCTACATTCCTTTCTGTCCATCTCATCCGTTTTTTTATCATCATTTTTCCAAAATTTTCGCCATCCTTTTCTCCTTCCTCCTCGCCTCATTCATTTCACCAACTACCCTCCAAAATGTCATTTCCTCAATCTCCTCACCTCATCCATTTCAAAAAAATAAATTTTGCAAAATATATTGCAAAAAATATTTGTCATCAAAAAAATATTCGAACTGTCTAAAAACGATTTGTCCATTTCCCGGACAAAAAATAGAACAGCAACAACATCACTCCCTCCTTCGTTTCATCAGTTTCATCATATATTTTTTTTGGGCGTGGTCGTATAGCTTGCGAGCTTCGCTAACGCTCGCGTGTCCCTTGTAGGATTTTATCTTCAATATATAAAACGCTATACTTACATTATAATTATAACATATAAGGGTATAAATGTTATTATTATAGTATGATTAATAATTATGGGTTACATTTATAGTCAGGAAAAATGTCTTCAAATATGTAATCTACATATTTATCAATATCGCCAATGTCTATATATTTGATATTGTCTTTTCCTATTATTGAATAAATATATTTCCAGAAAAACAAATTAACTAGTAGCCATACTTGATATTTAGTGTTGTAGTAAGACCATACATGATATTTAGTTATTCTAAATTCATTCAAGACCTCGTTTATTTTATCTTTACTTAATAAATGCCAATCAATCGCTTCAAACATGTCTCGAATTTTTTTAACGAATGCTTTATATGGTTTAATTGCGTTTGCCCCTCCAAACCTCTTCATTAAATCTTTATTATTAAAGAACTCATCAATTTCTTTTTCAAATGACTTTCTAGCAATTTTATGGTAAAAACATACAGGAAATCGTTTTTGACATATCTCATAAAGAATTTCAATTGTAATTGAAACTTTGTATATCCCTTATCCTTATGTGCTTCAACAAAAAACTTTTCAAGGTCTCTTGTTATACAGCATTGATTACAATATACATCATATTCACTTATTTTACTACACAGATTAGCAGGTAATAACTTATACAATG